AGCTGATAGCAAACTGTAGACTTTCAGTAATAATTACCTCTTTACTTGTTGGTACATTGCTGTTATTTTTATCCCACAGCAGGAACCTGAGGCGCAACGAGTAGGAAGGGAACTGCCATGTTGGCCAGGGGTTCGTCCAGCGGCCATGTTTGTCCCGACAGGACTTTGTCACCTCCTCCTGCAATCAAAAAACAATCACGTTAGCCGCATTCGGTGTAAATTTTGGGCATAATGCTGCTTAAGAGGGTAAATTTTGAACCTGGAATGCTATGCAACAGACAGAAGTGATAGCTCTTGTGTTGATGGAAAGAAATGAAAAGATCTGAGGTGAAGGCAGAGGAGCAGGTTGGATTCAGCTAGAGAAGGTGGTTTTATTGCTCAGAAACATGATGAGATGTGACGCTTTTACCTCCAGTCGGTAGTCCAGCCGGAAGCTCTTGCGGGAGGAGCTGCTCTTCCTGGGGCTCACCTCTCCACCCTCAGCACCTCTCAGCGCTCCACCATCCTGCAACACAAACCGTGATGGAGCCCGTTGTCACTCCCCGAAAGCATTTAAAGTTTAGAAAAAAGGCACCATTAACTGCAAAACCAGCCATCATTAGGAGACATCTAAAACATTAGCTGTAGCTGGTGAAATGCTTCAAATGAGAGATGTTTTATTAATTTTTGCTATGTGGTAGCTTTGGGTGCAACAATCCTCAGCGCTGAGCCAACACCCAACTACTCACTGACATCCCAACAAGCTGCTTTATCATGTTAACTTAAGCAAATTGTGATTCACATGCTCTTTGTGTGATCAGCTGAGAGGCTACATCAGTTAATAATTAATGACAAAGCACACTAACAGCTACACTGATTGCACAGACGGCAGACACCCTCATCAGAAGGGCTACTTTAGATGTTTTTATAAGTCCATTGAATCTGTTTCCATTTCTACCACACAGACGTTTCTGGGCTTAATGGATCAATTATCTTTACATCATGCTTTTACAACAAAGCTGCGTTGATTTAAGACATTCACGTGATTTGAGTAACGTGATTCATGTTTATTGTTATTTTTGGTTAATATTTCAATTCCAAACTAATACACAGATAGATAAGACAATATGTCAAACACATTGCCCCTGAAAATTAACTTTATTTTCATTGAACAAGAATGCACTAGTTTGTGTTTCATGTAAAAAGATACATTATTGATCAATGATGAATGTCTAAACCTAGCTGTGAAAGTGTCAATAACTAATTAAGAAATAATGCATAAGGGCTAATGATTCCTAACTACTAAAGTTCTGATCAGTCAGTATTTGGTGTCAGTCTGAATATTATTTGCTACTCACAGATTGTGTGGACTAAAACGCACAAGAAGCATAATTTGTAATAATCCAACACATTTACAATCAGCCAGGCAAACTCATTAAAACATGCAATGATTAAGTTCAGTGTTTGTGATGGAATAGTGGCATTAGAATGCACCAGAGGCCACCAAAGTTAAGCCTGTAGGATTAAAACTTTCTGTGGTGATGCATCACCCCAGAGTCTCCTAACTGGCTACTATTATTAAAAATGTCCCTCATATCCAGTGGTCGAACTTATGACAGCAAGTTTTTTTTTGTTGCTTTTTTTGATGGATCAAAGTAAACGCAGCAGAACTTTGCAGTGTTTAAAACCTCTAAGTCTGGTTGAAGTCGGCACAAAACTGCCACCACCAATGATTACCTTTCACTTTTACTGATCTCACACTGACGGGCTTTTATATTGTGAATTGTTTTATGACGTGTCTTTATCGCTCTGCGGCTGTTCTTGTCTTCTGTACCTGCCCCGGAACAAAGATGCAAATTAGCTGCGAGCTAACTCTGTTGCAATAATTTTTAATTGCGCACTGTTCCTGCAAAAATAAACAAATAAAACTAAAGCAACAACATCAACTATTTTATTCCATGCACTCTTGATTCTAAAATAATTGTGCCTGTATTAAACACAATGCACCTCCAGCTATGTTAGTTGATTACTGACTCAAACTGAGAAGAAGAGCATCCTGCAAAGTAATGGTAAGCTCACTTCTATCTACTGCCATACCTTCAGACTTAAGTCATGAGCTGTAACTGATGCTAATAAAAGTGACAATATTTGAGGCAGTTTATCAGCTTTTGCACATTTTTTCTGAAGCTTGATCTCCTTTAACGGATATCATCAATAAACGTAACCACAGTGACTGTAAGTAAGCCTTTTTCACAGCAGACATGTTGACATGTCAGAGAAGGAAAAACAATAAATAACAGATAAATTCACCACCACATTTGGTCAGGTAATAAAATACAACTTCTAAAACTGACTTTAGAGACGTACATTTCCTTTCATGCAATATTTTTTTCACTCAAGCAAGTTATAATTAAATCTACCACATCTTGGTGCTATCTAATTTAAGTGGATTAGCCCAGTGCATTACCTCCAGCAGGTCTTTTCTCTCCTCCAGCGCCGCTCTGTCTGAAGATGAAGGCTTCTCCATGGGCTCACTGCCACACCTAGCATGAACACACACAGACACACACAGTTCACGTTTACAACACAGCTGCAACCTGCTTCACGGTTTGACTGTTAGCCCTCCAAGTGTTGATCTGAAGCAAGCAGAGGTGACATGCTTTGCTCAAAAAGGTGCAGCTGCTGAGGACAGTGTCACACATTTACACCAACTACCAGCTGATTTCATTCACCTTACAGTCATGAACACACTCAGCAGCTGGCAGTTAAACCGTAGTTTGCATGTGAGAGATGATAATCAGACACGACGCAAGATCAACGTCCGTGTATGAAAATGAAACTGCAGGTGACATTTCAGTGCTTCGACGCTGCACTAAATGTTGTGGTTAAACATCAGCTCAAACGCTGCTACACAACCAGCGTGTCATCCAGTTTTATTTTGAACTCTTAAAAAACGTGTTGACAGGAAAGATAAAACCATGACTAATGCAGAGGGTGTAACTGTTGTTGCTCTTATGTAACACTGATTGAGAAACTATTGTGCCGACACATCCATGACAGACAAGTAAAGAGTAAAGACACCATATAACCGTTGATCCAAAGTGATTATGTAATCAGATTTCTCTTGACCAATTCCAAACCTGACAGAAATTAATAGCTCATGGTGGTGCAACATTAAACTCTAAGCTACAGACCTTCCTTACAGCTTAGAACACATTTCTTCAAAATGAGATTGGGGCAATAATGCCTTCAGTAAGACTTCTTCTTCTTTTCCAGACCCTATATTAAAGGGTTTAGGGCCAGGAGAGTAAACACCTACACTTGCATTCGCACATACACGATACAGAGCCAGCACTAATCACAGCCCTTCCCCATCCTGCTATTATCCGCAGCAATCACAGTGCAGCATACACCCTCACCAACTACTACCCACCCATGAATGTTTCCTTCATGCCCTTCACAAGAAAACCACACTTTAGAATCATTGATTTCTACCCTTATTGATTGAAGAGTCCAATATTGATGCCGGACGAGCAGATGGTTGTTCTGCTAAGAGAAATCCATCACTAATGCAACGAAAGCCTAACAGTGCACTTGTCCTCTCTGGGGAACTCCATACATTGAAGCTATGGCCTGCTGATGATGCACTCAGCCTCATGAATGGACTTTTAAACACAGACAGCAGGCAAACAATGGAGCTCTGTGGACGACGACCAAAACAAAGATCCATGTAGCCGGTCAGCCAGAGTGCCTGATGTGGTCACATAAACAACAAACACGAGCTCAGGGCAGACCTCCTCTCTCTCCTTGTTAAATTAAAGCGTTCCAATAAAGATACCAGACTTGAGCTTTAAAGGAGACAAACATGTGACATTATAGTCCCTACTTGTGAAGGAAAAACAATTAGGACAGTCATTTAGCCTTGTGAAAAGTCCTCAGGGAGTCGGCAAACAAATTAATGACACTGTTGCTGTTGTTGAGTTAGTGTCACACACAAGCAGGAGCCGAGCCAAAGGGGAGGCCGTGGAGAGATTAAAGTCTGGACACCCCACACAGGCAACTGTGAAGCCTGTTAAAGGGCTGCACTCAGCACTCCAGCTACATCCCATAACTACCATTTTTCTGGCAGAACATAGATCATTTCTCTACAGCCATGGATGCTTCATCCACAGCACCATACACACCACTCGCCATGTGTATGAATGAGAGATGACGCAATGCTGGCACGTTAGCGTTATAGAGCGGCGCTGCACGAAGGATGTTGAACTGCTGGTGGTTGGTTTGCGGCCGTTTCACCTGCCGAGGGAGTTTTCACACGTTCTGGCGGTTGCAGTTTACATCCCCCCCTTTGGCTGATGCTGCTGCGGCCTGTGAACTCATCCATAGTTCAGTGTCCCAGCTGCAAACATCTCACCCTCAGTCTCTGCTCGTCGTCTCAGGAGACTTTAACCACACATCGCTCTCTACCACTCTCCCCATGTTCTGCCAGTATGTGGACTGCCTAACCGGAGACGGTGGGGCCTTGGATCTGCTGTGTGTGGATGCATATTACTTAATTATTGTTATTTTCTTGTACTTTCTATATTTTTGGATGCTGCTGTGGCGTGTAAATTTCCCCCAATGAGGGATCAATTTAAAAAAAGCATTCTATTCTATAAAACATACAAACTAGTTCTGAGCATCCACAAAATAATCAAAACACATTACTGTCATTGAAATGTCAAAACACAGTATTAAAATGCATCTGGTGTTTTAAAGGGAAATAAAGAACCTGTTAGAACACGTAGTTAGTAGCTAAAGTGGATTAAGCCCCTCAGAGACACACATTCCTTTCTGTTAATCTGACATCAACTGAATGTGTCAGCTTCATGTCTGAAAGAGCAACTTGCTCGCTCTTCTTTTGCAGCTGCAACCTGATTATGTTGGATCCAAGATTTCCGCATCACCTTCACCGTGATACAAGTCTGAACTGCACGCTGTCAGATGAACAGATAAGCATGCACAAGTAGCATTAAGGTATTCAGGGAAGGTTTTCTTCACATTTCAGCACCAATGCTGGTCCAAAAATATCACAAAAGAGCAAAAAAGATGCAGTTCACATGCTAGAAACACATCTTTCTCATTCACTTTGTTCTGCAACTACATCTCTACTAGGCTACAAACTAGAATGTCCATTAAAATGCAAATTCATGAAAGAGGTTACTGAGACTCACTCACAATTAAAGTAATCCAGTGTTTTTTTATTTGCACAAAATGTTACTGGAGCTGAAGTTAAATTTTTTTGCTTCCAGATGTTTGTGAGATTAGTTAGGTGAGTTTATTAAACAGCTGCAGCATCAACAACAGCTTTATGAGCGTCTCCAAAGCGAGACAGTTGTGCACATTTATGAGACAACAGGACAACACCGGCAGTATTTTCATTCATGAATTAATTCTTAATAAACTTATAAATATCCAAGAGATGGAGACAAGATCCATTAGGATCTAGTGGCCAGTCCTGGTGCCAACTCCTCCTCACTTCATACAGGTGAGCTGACTCCATCACAGCTGTCAGGACATTTTTATCATCACACATGGACAGAATTTTAGAGAAATCATAAATAAACTAGGCTGTTAGTGTTTTGTTCATTAGTGTGTTATTATGCATTATGCATCACTTGATCTCACGTCTTGTGCATCCCTTTCTGTTACTGTGGTGGGTTTGTGTGAACATTGCCAGAAAACTGACCTCTGTCTAAATGAAAGAATGCCGTCACTTGAACAGACCGATGAAGGCAGTAACGCTATGTGTCCCGTGTCTGAAGAGGGGGGCTTATGACTCCGGTTTAGCTGCGGATTTAGTCGAAGCTCTTGCACAAACTCTTTAAAGACTGCAGGAATGAAACCTAGTTTGAGGCGCTCTGCAAATGAGTGGTACACCGAGGCAAGAACCTGCAGCCAGAAGAGAGAAAATGCAAAACGAAAGGCTGGATGGAGATGGAGTAGTGTCTAAACTAGGTGAGCAGAATAACATGCATGTGTGTATTCTTCAAAATGCACGCGGCAATTAAAGGCAGCATGACTTTAACAGCCACTAAGGATTATATAACCCTGTGTGTGAGCTCTCGCCTGTATAAACAATTGATAAGAGTAAGGGGGCAAAAAATGACTATTTGGCAGCAAAGAAAGTATTCAAAAGACACTAATTTATCTAATGTCTGGTAATCCAAATGATAAACAGCCTTAACAGCACAGGAGATATACCTCAACTATTCATTAACTTTGCACCACATACATCAATGCTGCACCACATGTAAACAAAACATGAGTCGCACGAGCAGACGTGTGTCTTGGGGTGAAATATTGGTGAGAGCAGATCAAACACCTCCGGGGAAAGGCCACACACACACACACACCTACACACCTACACACACACACACACACACACACACACACACCGTGCAGCACCAGCAGCGTCCTTACAGGCTACAACCCCTCCGGTTGTCACTACCTACCTGTAAACTTGACCGCAACACACGAGCACCGGTAGTTCTCTCACAGAGGAGACATGTTTGTTGCATTAGCCGCAGATGGTGTTAATACGAGCCAGTTCTCAGGTTCCCTCAGAGCGCTTTAACATAACGACGCCGTGTCGACGAGCAGCTACGGCGGCTGGAAACTTGAAGGAGGCGGTCAAAAGCTGCCGGTAGGAGGTCTTTGAAGGGTACAAACGTGGAGCTTCGGTGAGTGAGCAGCAGCGGGATGGTGAGAATCATTAGTCGGTACTAGCTCCGTCTCTGACGTCGGTGCTAAAAGCCTCCGACCACGTGACCTGCCGTCGGTCTGTTTTATAATTGACTACAAACAGTGGGAGGGAAACCGGTGTCCACGGTCGTAAATAATAACACGCTCGATGTTAGTTTAAAAAAAAATGTTAAACGTAAAAAAATAATTGGACAAAATTAGTTGTAAATCAAAAATTAAAAGTCGTAAATAATAACATGTTCACACTTTATTTTAAATTGTAAAAGTAAAAAAATAATCAGGCAAAATTAGAGTTGTAAATAATAATATTCAATATTAATTTCAAAATGTAAACTAAAAAAATAAAAAAATATTGGACAAAATTAGAGTCCTAAATAATAACATGTAAAATATTATCTTTAAAATGTAAACTTAAAAAATAATAATTAGTTGTAAATAATATGCTTAATATTCATTTTAAATTGTAAACGTAAAAAAATAATCAGGCTAAATTAGAGTTGTAAATAATAACATATCCAATATTAATTTAAAATTGTAAACATATAAAAAATAATCTGACAAAAGTTGAGTAGTAAATAACAACATATTCAATGTTAATTTTAAAATGTAAATGTAAAAAAATAATCTAACAAAATTTGATTTTTTTTTTCATTGAACCCAAACATTTTTTTCTTAAGTGTATGTAGATCACGATGCTTGCACAAAAGACAAACATTTTAAAATTTTAATTAAAATAGGATAATTTCATATAAAATGTATTACTTTCCAACAGGACTATCACCATTATTTGAAACCAGATGATTTAAATTCCACCATGTCATTGTGTGCTGTTGGTGTTAAAGGGTAAAAGCTTATCGTCCTGCTAAAAAAACAAACAGCATGACAAAGCTTAAGATGGTTGTTGATTTTAGCTGGTGTTGGGCTGGTTTAGGTGGTTAACCAGGCTGGATGCACTGGTCAGGCTGGTTTGTCAACATAGTTGGACAACTTGGTTCAGCCGGTGACCCTGTCAGGCTGAGCTGGTCGATGTGACTGACCAGTGGTGACCAAATGGTTGGACGGGCAGCCAGTTAAACCAACCAGGCTGGACTGATCAGAACACCCCCGAAAAGGCTCTTTTTGTTTTTTATCCTCCCCCCAATTATCACGTTTGATATTACTTATTACACCTATTTAATTGCTTTTACTGTTCTATTCTACCTTGCTTCATTGCTATATTATAACTCATTCCAGCAATTTCAGTACTGTAACGTACTTATTGTCTTATTATTTCCTATGTTGAGGGTCAATAAAAAAATAATATAGGCATAAGACATAATTTAATATATATATATATGAATAAAGAGCCAACTGATAGAACTTTAACTTAAATTCTGAGACATTAAAATAACTTGAGACATTATATATATATATAAAAAAAAATTTCTTCCATTTTCAGAAGTTGGACAGAGAAAGAGTTACCTGACATGACTTTGGGTATTTTTAGAGGTGGCACAAAAACGAAACTAGTGTGAAATAACGGCTGAACACCCGCACATGACATGTATGAGTGGGAGGTCAGTCCTAGTTGGAGAACTTCTTGCCTTACAGACTTTCTGTGTCTCATGTGTTGTGGGCTGAACTCACCTTGAGCTGCTCCACCTGAGGAAGGACACCTGGAGCGACTTGAACCCGAACACAGCCGCCAGATTCACTCGGTTACACGTAAACCTACAAAACAACAACAGCTGCACACGTTTGCACAACGTTGTTTCCATTCTGGCTCTTTGATTCTGACCATATTTGTGCAGCAGCTTTTATTAAAAACAGTCAGAGGACAGACTTCATGCACCGTTCATTCTGCGTCCGGACGAAGCGCACAAGTTGTCTGAACTTCCTGTCTGATGCTTTCAGGGACAGTGGGAAATCCGAATAATCATAATTCAAAATTCGTTTTGTGAAAAGTTTAAAATGAACTTGAGAATGATTTTATTTTACCTTCATTTTATACCCTAGCATAATATTCTGTGTTGTCTTTTGCTTTGTTTACCCCCTTTGGTGAATAGTCATGCTGCTGTAACACCTGAATTCCCCTCTGGGATTAATAAAGTCAGTCTAAGAACCATTAGATCAGGGGTGTCCAATCCTGGTCCTGGAGAGCCCCTATCAAATGATCAGCTCATCATCAAGCTCTGCATAAGCCTGATAACGATCCTGATCATGTGAATTAGGTGTGTTGGAAGAGGGAAACATCTAAAACATGCTGGATAGGGGCGCTCGAGGACCAGGATTGGACACCCCTACATTAGATGTATTTCATTTAGTTTTTCTCGTTAAATGGTTCACTAAAAGCACATCTACCCAATCTAGAAATGATTTACCTAAACTATGGAGCCACTAAATAGACAAAGCACCAACAGAATGTAAATTCAGTTAAGTCTTTAGAAGTCTTTAGTGGATATTTAGTAATTTTTGCAGAAGAAAAACATCTTCACGTGTAATAAAATTGTTTTCTGCATATAGAGTCCAAATGACTATCTCTAATCTTAAGTGAACATTTTGCTAAAGCTTAGATTAATGGCATTAAAATTGGTGGAAAATATTTTCTTCCAATGTGATCTAAATGCAGCTCAGTTAGAGCAGCAACATTTATTCTTCAGGGAATACAAACATTGTTGGCATTAGATTGGTTTTGCTCACTAACAAAACTACAGGCTGAAGGGCTGTGAACGTGTAAATATTTTACTGCTTGCTAAAATCCATATTACGCTAGTTTTCTTTGTTTAAACATGATTGTGTGTCTCCACATCGTGTTTGCAGCCTATTGTAATGTCAGAACAGGATAAATAAATAAATGTTGCTGGTTGGCTCCTCTGTGCTGCTCCTTACAGTTTTCCAAAGCTTTCTCAATCAACCTTAATCAAATATGAAATCAGAAACTTGCACTGCAGCGCTCCAAACACATTAACTTTATATAAACAAATCGTAGCATCAGTAAAAAAAAAAAAAAGAAATCAGTTTACATTGAACACTGTCCAAGTGATTTGTGATGTGGCATCAGGCAGGTGGGGAGACTACTGGGAGTTTTTCATTAAGGATTGATCTTGTCTTCACAGTCTTTCCAGTGCAGACAGAAATGAAAAAACTTAAATTAAAACCAGATGTATATCAAAATGAGTGATGGAAAAAGGCTGCATTAACAAATCAGAAAATGACGGGACATTTGTTTTTCACCATTCTACCTCATAGCCAGCTGATACAGCAACGGCAGACAAATACCAGTGACCTATTGGTAAAGGCCCAACAGCAAAATTATTGATTAAGCTCCAAGTAAGACAGCTAAACACCCTAAATGTTGAGGCTTTTTTTTTTTTCATTTTGTGCTGCAGTTTAGCCTCTACATCTTTAACGGGCTTGTTCTGACTATATTTTTAAACATATTTTTTTAAATGGTCTTGTTGAAAGGTACCAAATTATACACTTACATACTTAATCCTACTCTGGACAATGCAACACAAATAGAAACTAGCATCGCAAAACAAATCACAACAACGTATTGTTTGAATCAGGGTCGAGAACAGGAGCACAGAAAACTGTCTCTTGCTGGACAATCGGGTCCACGTGTGTAGGTGTCCATCCGTCAGTGCTCTTTGTGGTCTCCGTCCTCCTCCAGTTTTCTGATCTCTGCCTTCAGGTGGTTGATGTTTTCTCTGCTGGCTTTTAGTTTGTCTTTCAGCTCCGTGATTTCCTGGCTGGTTCTCTTCTTCGCTGCCTCCATCTTCTCCTTGGTCCTTTGCTCCAGCTCACTGACTGCAGACACAAGCAGGAAAAAAATAGATCAGTGCGATGAAAGGGGCTCAGATTATGTGAATTTTCTGCACAGTGGCACGGAATTCATTTTTGCCTTTTGTGGAACCCTGTGGCCACAAAATTATAATAACAGTATAATTGCAAGACGAGTGAATGAATATCCACGCCTGTCTATGGTTAATATGTGAGTACATACACTCTGTCTCGTGCTTGTAAGCTCCCAGAGTCAGTTGTCTTGACGTGGTCAGGAGCTGCTGCATCATGGCTGTAGGATCCTGAAAGATCTGAGAATGACACAGAAAACAAAGCAGTCAGGGTTTTGACTCACACATTTCTGTTTAGGAAATATTATATCTAAGCCAGGGCTGCACAGTTGTTAGCATCGTCACCAGCACAGCTAGAAGATCTCTGGCTTGCGTCGTTATTATCTATCGTGATCTAAACACCACACAACACCAACTCATAAATAGCTGCACCCAAGTGTGAAAGAAACTGTACCATTTCATCATAGAACTCAGAGACGACTGTCTTCTTGGGCATGGCACTGGAATCTGACTGGAACAGCTTCAGCAGATGGTACAGAGTCACCTGAGACACACACAAAAGCACAAATCAGTACAAAGAGAGAAGTATAGTTAAATAGTTTACAACTTGTCCTGTTCTGAATCTTAGGCAAGGCAGTTCACATAAATCCGTAAGAGGACCTCCTTCTCTTCTCACAACATACCATATGTTCAAGAAACGACTGTAAACCATGAGGATTAGCACACATCACATGCTTGTAGTTCTTAGTATGGAGCTGGAACACAGTCTTTGAATGTGTTAAGTCTGCTTGTGTTCTTACTGGTCTCTCATTGGGATCGATGAAGAAGATCTTGATGATGATCTCAAACTCCCCCCAGCCGGTTTCTGTGATCTCATATGGAGGCTTAGTGACCACTGGAAGGAAGAGAAACACAGTGAGCTGAGCATAAATGCTATTCGTTGTATTTCTTTGTTGTATATGGTCTCTCATATGAAGGTTTGTCTTGTTCTTATCATGAAGGCAGCTTGATTGTGGAGTGAAAAGGAGGCTTTAGTTGTCTCTTGAAGGACCACATAATAATGCTGTAGAGGCTTTAAAGTGCCTCATTAGTGGAACAGTTATACAAAACCACGAGACTGACCCACACTTTTGCTCTCTCTGCTTGGAGGGGTGTGAGAGACAAACTTTCCTGGGTGATCGAGTGAGACTTTGTACTTTTGGATCTTGTCTTAGGACAGGATTAGTCATGTTTGCATATGTGCAGTTAATTGAAATAAATAACAGATTAGATAGAACTTCATTGATCCCTTTGGTAGGGTACCTCAGGGAAACTGCTCTTTGCAAATTTATTTTTTGTAGAATCCCCACAACACAAAACAAAAGTTTACGAGAAAATCCTCTGCCAAGATGCTATTTCCAGGTAAAGGTCAACTCACCTCTCAGAGGGTTACCGTAGCTCTCATGTAGCTTGAACTGGATCTTCTTCACATAAGCAGACATGTCCTGGAAGAAGTCAAGGTGCCATTTTGTATATAATACATTTACAACCAACAGCTGTTGATGCAAGGTGCTTTCCAGTAAAAACAGACTAGGATTAATGTTAAGAGATTAACCTAACAAGTTTAAATAGGATGGTTTAGTGCTATTTGTGTTATGATTTTACCTGAGTAATTTACATACTGGGGGTTAAAACCCTAAAAAGATTAAGTAACATACTACTTTACCTGACAGTAATACATTATAACTGAGACTCTACAGTGTTATTATTGTGGACAACAACCAAAGTAATGTAGTCATTCAGCAAAGACGGTATGGTATAATAAATGACACAACTCAACCCTACCAATAGAAGTACTAAGGCTAGGATGCTACAGCATTAGTAATTATGGAGATTAACCTGATGAATGATAAAGGTTTGACCCGACAGTAATATACAGGAAACCCAACATTTCTAAGAATGTCCTGCATCACTGTAATCCATGTACGTAAAGCTGAATTGACCAGTCACTATCTTTTCAGCTATTTCTCTAGACAAACTGTAGTATTTTGTACATCTGGTTAACATGAGTTTTAATAACGTGCCTGTTGTACCTCATTTCTGTAAGGCTTCACGTAGACAGACCACTGGTGTGTGTGTCCGTCCTCCTCTCTCTTCTTGCCAAAGTAGCGAGCAACATTTCCAAACACAATAGGCTTCACAATAGTCACTCCCTGCAGGTAACACAGACAAAAACACAAGATCACAAAAATAGATCTGCTGTAAAACACACAGAGCGGAAATAATGAGATGCAGGAAAACCTTAAGACACTAATTCCCCACATTATCTCAATATATGTTACAAAGATGTCTGTCTTTCGCCATTCAAACGAAAAAAAAGTCTTAGTTGATTTCTTTTAATCCAGACTACTGTAATGGGACGTTACCTTAACGCGCCCCCCGGAATCTGGACCAAATTCCGTCATCTTCTTGAACATAGTACAGAACCGAGCCTCAAGAGAATCCTGTCGCGTCTATAAGACTCTACTTGTTCCGCCGAGTGACTCTACATTTATTAAACCCGCCATTTAAGCGGCGAAACTAAACCTTACACACCGACTGACACCATTTTTTGAACTACCAGCCAAACAAGCGCCGGAAGTTCCGAGTGCAGCGTGTATATTTGTCCGATAGGAAACGGGTACAAAGACACAAAGGTTCCGGCTCATGGGCGCAAAATTTCCAGCTAAGACCGCAAAGTTGACAATATTACAATTATCGATTAGTGTAGGTTTCTAGTTTTGATACCTCGATATACTCTTAAAATATCTTATGTTCTTCATATTTGCATTTGTCAAAAGCTAAACCTGCTGTTTGACTTTATTTTTTTTTTACTTTAAATTCACGTTTCTAACAATAAAAACCTCACAATATTAAGCTCAGAATTTTCATGTTAACCTCATTTATCAAGATTAGCATGCCTCCAGTTTGAGCATAACTTGAAATTATCTATCTATCTATATATAGAGAGAGATAACCCTACATCATTTTTTGTTTGTTTTGATTATTCAGCTTTTACATTGGCAAAGAATTTATTTTAAAGAGTTTTCTTAGCGTATTACTATTTTTCTCTGTGTAAGTATTCTTGAATTTGCACATGCACCTTGATAACATCTCAAACCTTACAATTTAAGAAAGCACATTCTGGGGTTTCTTAATCTGTCAACACTCCCCCAAAAGCAAAACAATTATTTAAAGATTAAAATCCTATGTAGACTGACCTCGGCTCAGTTTCACAAAGCAGGTTTAGTGACAACTGTCTGTTAACCCTGAAATGAGGGAAACTCTCCCCTGCTTCTCTCCACTACACCAACGTATTGGATGCATTAGGTAAAATAAAGAAAATAAAACCACAAAAACAAACTCAATGTAGACATATTTTATTCTTTGAGACCAGTAACAATGTGATGCCTATTGTGCATTCTTCCCAGGCACGAATACATAATTGTAAGAAAATATTACCAACAGTCCCCAAAGAATATAAACGAGACTTAACCTCATTTATGTAAAACCCCAAATTACATGTGGCAATACAATGAAGAGGACTGAATTCATTAAAATTCTTGTAAAACATCACCTTTTAAAGCCATGTTGCTGAAAAAAAGTCCCGCTTTTCATCAGGTCAAGTCTGAACAGCAGAGCCAATATATAAGGTCTTCGAACAGAAAAATCTCAAAAAACGTTCTCCACATTGCAAGATGCTTTAGAGTGGAAAATTAGCTTGGATAGTGAGCACTGATCCTATAAAATGTAATTAAAATACTGCAGATACTCATAACTATACTTTCCAGCTGCTCGCGTGGGCTAAAGGGTCCTGCTTGATGCAGCAATCAGCCAGATTTCTTGTTTCTTCATCTGCTGAGTGTGATGTCGACCTGAAAACACTTACCTTCAGCGCTGTGGAGAGAAGCTACCACAAAGCAAGTGACATCCAACTATGGTAAACCAAAATCCTGCACACCCAAATCCCTGGAATAGATGATTTACCTTCTAACTGTAAAGCATCGTGGCTGTATGGGACCAACAGAACAGAAAAAGTGAAGCTTGGCCTGTACACACATTCAGCCCAAATCATCAAAATCCATGTTGGAAGAATCCAAACATTTTTTAAGGAACTGTTTCAGGACATTTTCTACCTCTTGATGCTAGCAATGTTCCACGTTCAGTTTGGTTTGTATTAAAACCCAATTTACATTTTTTATTACAAGTTCCATTACCTTTGTACAGAGTTTACAGGCTGACTGTAGCAAAGGGATCAACATTCATGATTATAAAACACCTTTAAAGGATACTGAACAAGAATACATTTCAAGAGTCTCATCAGTTTTCTAAAACATTTAGATGCTGTTACAGTCTGATTAACAGCTTTTCATAAAAATTCTGAGCGACTCATGTTCTACAAGTGGGAGTTCCCAATTTTTACATTCATCAAATACCTCTGGCAGTAGTTCAGGAGATGATCATGGATTTGAACTGACATGACAGATTAACAACAGAAAAATCATGTTTACAAGGAAACCAATAATCTCTCAGGCAACACAAGAGGATTGATGTTTAAACAACAGAGGGGGGTATTGTGGTCAAACTAAATACGCGCTGGTAACTTGTTCACATCAGTGTTTGTCAGCAATTTAGCTTTTTGTTAAATTCATACGAGAACAATGTTTGTCGTAATTCCAGTCTATCCAGAGTCATTTCAAGTACAAATAGCTCTGATGAAGCAGTGCTTCAGAGCTCCCCCTCAACACGTTTTTGATATTTTATTGAATTTGAAAACTGCTCTGATCTTATATTTAAAGTCATTATTAGGGCAGCTAAACCAGATATACTTTGTAACTACAGATTTAGATCTAAAACAGTAAAAACAAAACAAAACATGAAAGTCAGGCTCTTTTTCAAAGCACACCTTAAATGTGACAAACTAAAATATCTGTGTAACAAGTTTCTCACAGTGTGTTTCAACAAACATGCAAGACAGTCACATGATGGGTAGAAACTATGTTGTTTTCCATTACTTCCAAATTACTTCATGTAAATGTAAGTTTAAAAATCTGAAGTGACAAAGGGGCAAAAACATAAAACGTGTTGCGTGTGAAACAAACAAGAACTTTTGGGACTCAGTATAAACTGAAGTGGCTGCTTGAATGAACATGATTTTCACAAAAACAAAACATACCACAAAGACAATTCAATTCTGCACTTGTTTTTTTTTTGGTGACAATTACACAGGACGTAAACATTAGAACCCACTTTGTCAACAGCAGTGTTCTCTTTTAGGTTTGATCCAAAAGCTGCCCCAAGCGATGCATTATTTTGTAGACATTTCGCCCTGTTCAAGGTCTAGAAACCCTTCCATCCACTGATTAGTGCGCATCGCAAAATAGTACACGTATCTGACTTGTCTTACTTTGTAAAAGTTTTGAAGAAAACAAACACAAAATAAAAAATAAAGTGACCATATCCCCTTTGCTACTACAGCTAAAAAGTCTCATCTAAAAGTAGACAAATTCAAAAACATTGTGCAGTCCAAAATATACATTTAATATAAATGAACCAAACATGTAGAGGAATTCACCAAATGCAGAGTGTACCTCAGTAAACATTTTTTATTACAACACCATCTAGTTTTTAATCAAAAAGCAGACATTTACAAACATACTAACTATGAAAAGAATAAATGAGAATGAGAGGGAGGGTAGGGGAGAAAACATCAAACATGTACCCTATAAAAACTGATCTCTAAACTTAATGTACACAGTACAGCGAGCCAAAGAAAAAACAAAATGAAAACAAAACAAAAAAAAAATAGGATGTAATGTTTGTGTCTTCTATTTGGGGATCGTGCGGGCCATTTATTGTTTCTTTGCAAAAAAGCATCACACATACTCTTCTTCATGTGAAATAAAACATCATAAAAATAAAAGAGCTGTTTGGAAAGTTTTGTTTCTTTCATCTTTAGTTACCATGAGTATAGATGTTTGGATAACATAGCCGTACACAGGTCAGGGTCTTCCATCCACTGCTCTTAGACAACAGACAGAGAGAAGGATGGGTGGAGAAGGAGAGGAGAGGAGAAATGAAGGGGGTGGAGGAAGAGATGGTGGTGGTGGTGGTGGTTGCAATCCTGTCCGGTCATGCAAGGCGGGCAGGGAGTGGTGCACTGAAAGCGTTTCCTCCTTTTCCTTCCTTCCATCCATCCTTGATCCTCGTGAGCTGAAAGGTGTCAAAACGAAGGGTGGAGTTTGGTTTGGAGCCAGCCCAACAGTGAACACTCCCCCCACTCACCAGAAAACCTCTACACTACACATACAAAGTGCACACCAGGGCTGGGTTCAATTCAGCATCACTCTGAGTCACAACGGTGGAATTTGTCTGAGTTTGAGCATTTTCAGATCTCTGAAAATGAAGCATATAAATGGCAGAATTGCATAAAACTAGCATCTTACTCTTAACACTCAGCTGACTGCGTATTGCTCCCAACCCTAGCACAGACACAGAGGAGGACGTCATGCAAATTTCAACAGGGAAGATCCAAAACACTCATCTGAAATCTCAGTACGTACAGACACCAGAGAATGTATTATTGAGAAAAGTCTGCTTAACTGCACTTCACCGTGTGTGAAGTAATGTTCTGTACAGATGTTTGCATGTTACATGTAGCTGTCTTTGACATTCACAAATTTATATCCACATGTAAAATGTATATTCAAAGACTTGAGACAGTGACGTTTGGCTTTTCTTTTTTGTGTGTGTGAACTAAATTTCATATTAAGGGCCAATAGATCTAAATAATGGCTAGATTGAACAAGACACATCTTGTCTAAACTACTACTTACTGTGTAACATTTGGTTTGTGTGATTTGGAAACAACTATGACATTTACTGGTGAATCTGACAAATATATTATATGCCACATCTAAGATAACATTATCCAACAGGGAAAACGCTCATCAGAATAAACACCTCTGCAATGTAGAGAGGTGATAATTGGTAGGACACAATTTCTTAAAAGACGTAATTTTGATTTTGTCTCTGAAGTCTAGAACATTTAAGTTTAATCATTTCAAAATCCATAATGTTTAAAATATCAGTCATATTTAACTTTATCTCTATACCTGGACTATACTTAATCATTCTCTTCCTTTTACTAGTCTTGAAACCAAAGCTCTAAGTTTGCCTTCTAACAGCACATGAATATTTTTCATCAACACCAACAGGTTATGGTAGACATGAGGCACAGAGCGAAACACTGAAAGTTTTACCACTGCGGCAAATACCATAGAAATAATGTTTAAATGCTTGTGACAACTATTTGTTTTTAGGAAACTGGGGTCTACAGAAGAAAAAGACACAAAAGACAAAACAGCTTTAGATCAAAAAACAAAGCTACCAAGAGAAAGGCACGTACTGAGCTCAGACACAGCAGGTGGTACTTGGCCACACAACTACCCAATGCGTACCATGGTGGGGTTTTTGGGTTTTTTTTTTTCAGATTTTTCTTTTTTTACATAAAACAGAATAGATTATTAAATGTGATATGGTGTAGCAAACATGATGCCAGTCAACAAGCTGCAATATTCTGTGCTGATAATTGATAAAGACAAAGTCCAGCATGCAACAGGAAACTAGAAAGGCTGTCTCTCAAAATAACAAATGGCTGCAGCAATGGACAGTCACTGTCTACAATGCTCCACTGACCCGATTACATTTCTACACAATTTAAGGCACCGCTTCACAGAAATGTTACATTTGTCAGATGAAATGACGACAGTTCTAATACAGAAAGTCATTTCAAAACGTTTCAGTGAAAATGATTACGTCTTTTTGGTTTACATGGTGCGAAGACGCCAAATGGAACTGTATCCACACCAAAACAAGTCAAATGAGAACAGATGATTCAACATGTTTCAAAGACTGAATTCATCCTGTAACTCGGAAGGTTTTATGATAAAAAAGGTTTGTTTGGCAAAGTGCATGACTGCAGTCGAAAACTTTTACCCGACAACCATATTTTACACAACACAACATTCAAATTCAGTGGTTCTCTGTTTCATGCTATTAAACTTTAGTGCTGTAACACAGGTTTATGTGAACTGGTTTACGTAAACTTTTATCAATGGTCAAATTACATGTAAAATATCAGACTTTTAAATCATTGGCCATCCGGATGGTACGTTCATTATAGGTTACTAAAGTTCATGGAAAACATTAAAATGTCTAACAACGTGTCAGTTAATACAGATTGGTAACAGAGCAGGTCAGAGTCAAACCAGGGTCAAGCAGTCCATGAAATACTCTCAGACCTTGAACTGAAATGTTCACTCCAAAGCACACGACATGTGATACTTACCATTTCCCAGTTTATAGATATTTGTAAACTGTAACGTTTTGCTTCAACTGTTGCTAGTTACCAATCCTTGGAAAAGCTTGACACTCTTGCGTTTCAGAAAACCGTTAGCTGATGGTATTGAATGTGTAGAAATAGCTAAAAGCTCATTTCTTAACAATAACTGGGGATCTAATTATTACTAAACCATTACAACTGTCTGCAGCTGCTTTACTTCATCCAAAAGTTAAAATTCTAACTTTCTTGTTCTATACCTTGACCTTCGGTTTTGTTCTAAAGCAACACATAAACTCTAAGCTTTATTTCCACCTTGGTACTTAAACAGACATGAATGCTTGTTGGTAACCTAAAGCAGTAACCATTTGACCCTGGTTTGACATGAATGAAAAGCTTGTTTTTTCAAAAGGACATTAGGACTGTGATCCCCAGCAAACATAGATGTACCAACAGACTAACGAGATAGTATTTCAGCCTGGTACAAACACTGTGCATTCCTGCATGGCAACATGAACAGATAGAACAGTGTTAAGCATGTCTGGACACAACAAATAGCCACACTACTACAGGAATAAGAGCAGTATTCTTGGCACTCAGTTCTCAGATTTGCAGACTAACAATCTCTGAGATATCAGATTTAATGCAAAAGCATGGAGCAATGGAAAATGGACATATTTGGACATCAACATTTTTGCCCATTTCCTTTTGATCTGTAGTCATATTACTTATACTGTAAGGAACAGTTTTGCAAAAATGTACTTATCAATGCATTTTGGCATCTACACACTACCAAAGGGTTGTAGGCCTTGTGCCCACTGGGGATCTCTTGTCTAAGAAAGATAATATACCCGTTTGAGGAGACTGCAGTGGCCCTGCAGGGATAAAGCCTCTTACATGTATCTGTTTACATTTTTAAATTGTACAAAGACTATGCTATATGTGATCTATAACCAAAATGCAAATTTGAATTAAGAGGTTCCCAGTGGACACAAAGTCTTACTTTGCAGGGAAAACTTGTGTAGGTAAAGCACAGTTGGGTGAAACAGAAATTAGATCAACTCAGCTAGCGCTGACAGCTAAAATCAACACAACTCTTTACTACTCGCATCACATGACAGATTACCGGAACAGTTACTAAGTTACATTCTTTGGGTATGAAAGTGTTTTGTCTGATTTCAGAGTTCAGCAACTCCACACGTCAAACCACCCCAGTTATTATTTACCTATATAATAGAAAAAAAGAAAAAACTGCACATATATCTCGTGTGTCCAATGCATGGAGTCTAATTCCTGCACTTTGAGTGCAAGAACATTAAAATGTCTACGGGGAATAAAACTTAGACCTGAAATCTCATTTAAAATTATGAGAAATATAATTTGGGGTTTGGCACACTGTGCAGAGATGCTGAAGGGGTCATGAACCTATTAGACTGCAAAACTGGTTTACACACAACACCAGACTTCTCAGTTCTTTGGCAGTAAAGACATCAGAACGACACAAAATGGTGCAAACACTACTTCAACTGCAGCTCCAAAAATTTACACAACTTAGCATGTTATTCAACATGCAAATGACGCAATGGAAGACAGCATCTTTCCACAAAGATTACAAAATGATTTGTAAAACCCTGACACTGAAAATCCCAAACAAACACCAGCAAGTCTCAGAAAACTAACCTAAAATATTTACCTCAAATAATTTGAAAGCAACAAATCATTAACAATGTGGCAACAGGTTTAGTGTGTACAAGCTGGCAACAAGCAGTTTCAGATAAATTCATCTACAATCCATGCATCACATGACTTCACATTGAAAGGGCCAGCAAAACACACAATGCTATGAGACAAAGTCTCATGTATTTCCAACTTGGGATGGCACATTTTTTCATAATTTAATACTGCAACCTATGTCACATAAAAATGTTGTCTATTCATGAATGAATTGCAAATAATGTGTATTTACTCACAAGTGTGCTGGATTGACTTTAAAAAATGGTTGAAATTGATAGCGTATCTGCAATGTTCTTAAGTTCTCACATCTAAAAAAAATCAGTTTAACTGAATCAAACAGAGCTACTCAAGGATAACAGGAAGGATACTTCTCTGCAATACTTTTGTGTTGCCTTGCAGTACATTTTGTGTTCTCTCCCAATAACATTTGCATTTCCACTGGCCCACATAGAAAGGCTGAGCATTATGATACAGCATTACATAGCAGAATGTTGTTGTGATGATGGTATGAGTGGGTGCACGCTCAGCTGTGGTGGCTCAGGCACATTACTGCATTTGGAGACTGGCTCAGACAGACTGGAGCTGTGATTATGACTGTAACCCTGGATTGACTGTGATAGTGGGTGTGACACATTAGGACTCGTTTATAATGAGTGTAACACTGACCACAAGCAGTAACCACATCTAGCCACAGCTTCACCTCTTAGAAAGCATTTTAATATCAACAGAGATCATTTGAAAATGGCTGATGTAATTTAAGGTTATTGTGAGTGAACACAAAAGAATCCCCAGAAAATGTGCTGCTATCTGGGGCTCTGCAGGATCAGGCAAAAAACTTTGGACCTGTACATATGGACTTTCTTGATCCTAGATTTTGCCCATCTATTCTTTCACATTTACAAGTTCTCATACTGATGATATATTTGTAAAGTACTGCAATTTATTATGAACTGCTCAAATGTAAACAAATTCTGAACACATTACATGTGGCTCCTTTTGAAGCCAATAAATATTTCAGGCTAAAAATGCTTTTCCCTTGACCCTGCCTCAAAAATGATGAAAATGACATTGTCTGCACTCAGCATTCAGACAGCTACGCTGTCAGGACATTTTATCAACAGGACATATACATGAATATTTTTTGTTTTTTCATTTCACCTCTACATCTTAGACTGAGGTGCAATAGTTCAAAATCGAGCAACGATATTCTATAAAAACATTCAATTTGGCACAAAATGTCAGGAGGAAATCACTAACATGCAAATATGGCACAATCACATTGTAAATTTTTTTTGTGTCCAAAAACCGTAATATGTTAACACTGTTTGAGGTTTACCTTCTCTTAATTATAACATGGCAGTATGCAGTAAACTCCACTAATAAATTGAAATTATGATATGTATACATTACCATGAGGAGAACATTTACACAAGTGTAGACTGAACTAGTTTTGACAGGTTGAACATTGCTTTTTTCCCCCCTTAAAACACAACCTGAAGAAATAGACCATATAAAATGCCAAAACTGTACCAAATATTGAAAAAAGTAATGGATGGTACTTTGACATCTAAATCCTACCAATCAGTTGAGGAACTATCAGTACAGGTACACTGACAAACCAACTCAACATAAGATGTAAATTTACATATAGTGAAATGTCAAAATAGAAGTGAAACTGGATAGTCAAGCCAGAAAATGCTCAACATTTGGGTCTATGGGCTGTAGCTGCTGGTAAAATGCAAAATTCTGGCAATTTGCATTTTTCATGAGCCCAACCGTTTTTTTGTGTGTTTTTTTTAGTTAACAAAGTATGTCTTCCATATATATTACTGGACTGCCAAAAAGAAAGATATAGCACATAAATTCATCCCCAACAGACAGAAATGTGGAAACATCAGGCTTGAGCGTCTTTGTATACTCTGAAATGCATTTGGCTGAATAAACAGTGGCCAATCAATTTTGCAATTTACCAGCCTCCAAGGCCTGTAGACCAAAATGCAACAAATGCATCCACAAAGTAAATGCCCAGTGACATGTTTGAGATTTGATTTTGAGAGAACTACAGTGTAGATACAACTCTTACAAATCCCACAGAGCAGCATAATCAATACAGTAAGTGTGTATTACATACACATTGTGAGACGATTTACACAACAACTGTGATGACCAATTATGAAATAAGAAGGAATGCTGACTTACCTTGTACCTACCTGAAGTCAAAGATTTAAAGGTCTTTTCCTTGCTTACCTTCTCCTCTCACTAAACAATAACTTATTATTTTGCTAAAAATATATTACATCCAATTAAAAGGTGTCAGGATACAAGAGGGATTTAGTCTTGAAACTTAACTGAAGTCTTATTTAATGAAAAAGAGAGGTGGCGAGCAATTAGAGAAGCCTTTTCAAATCTCAACGCCGTTTTCTTCTTCTGCCATGGTATTTAGCCTCGCTGAGCCCAAACAGGACTAAGACAAATGAAGCTTTGAAGGCAAGACACAAAAGTTGTACCCACCTCCCTACTCGGCTAGCGGTGTCGGTACTCCCTCTCCCTCTCTCTTTCCCGGTCTCGGTCACGGTCCCTCTCACGATGGCGATCCCTCTCCCGACTGCGTTCTCTGTAATAGTCCTCGTGCCTGTCGCGGCTGCGAGACTTGTGTCGCCGACTCTTTTCCCTAGAGCGGCTGTGGTCACGCTCTCTGGAACGTTCTCGCCTGGCGGAGACAGGAGCAGCATCATTAAGCCAGGGTTTCGAGGTTTTAAAATCTTATAAGGCCAATCACCACATGGAAGATACAATACAGGCTTCAGGCAAATAGTTAACAGCTACAACTCTGGCTGCCTCATCTGTCTTTGCGTTCTGCTACATCCACAATACTCCTGATATGATCTCTTCATTTTAGTTTGTGTATTTAATGGCCTTACCTGGAGGCAGAGCCGTAACTTTTTGACTCAATGCCATGGAGACAGTCCTGCAGGGAACTGATGAGGACTTTACAGCGGTCGTCTGCTGACACTTTGGACTGCTTTATCAGACTAATGGCTGTCACCAAAGTCTCTATAGCACTGCCATAATCAGCTAAAGAGGGAACACAAAGTTAGTTTAAACTTAAATTTTTATCTTGCTGATAACAAGTCAACACAGTAAATATCACTATTCATGTTACCTGCACTGGCGTCAGATACAGCCCTAGATATGGCGCTGGAGGAGATAGCTCTGTTCCTGTTCATGATCTCCTCAAACTCTGCTTCGCTCAGAGGTGTCCGTGATGCCTCCATCTCCCTACAAAGTCAAAGACACAAGGATTATGGCATTACATTTCAGAGTTGTTCCCTACGCAACCAATAAAAACTAGCTAAAGCTGTACAGTGTTAGGTCAGTAATTCTGGCACTTAGCATACAGATAAATATGTTGTTAAATACTGAATGTCACCACAAACTGCTTAATTTTTTGATTCCATCTTAACCAGTTATTCTTACCGGCCTCCAGGACCATAGTCTCTGTCATATGGTGGCGGGCGTCCGTATGGGTCGTTTGGTCCTGGGGGGCCTCGGCTGTCGTTTGGGGGCATGTTGTTGTTGCCAGGCGGGGGGAAGAAGGCAGGGTTTACATGGGGAGCTGGTGGTGGGCCACCTGGTGGTGGACCTGGCATGTGTGGAGGTGGAGCCAAAGCCATTGGTGGGCCGATAGGGCCTGGGGGACGAGGAGGGAAGGGTCCTGGAGGTGGTGGGCCTTGCTGAGGGGGTGGGGGGCCGGGAGGAGGGCCGTAACCTGGAGGAGGGGGGCCTGGGGGCAGGGGTCCCATTGGTGGCTGGCCAAACTGACTGGGGAAGAGAACAGGGGGAGGAGGCCTGTCGCCACGATTTGGAGGACCAGCTAGGGGAGGGGGGAGGCCTTGGCCAGGAGGTGGAGGACCTGGAGGACCTGGAGGACCAGGTGGACCGGGAGGGGGACGTGGAGGACCCTGCATGCCACCTAAAAACAAGAACACAAGGGACAAGAGAGGCAGAGTAAACATTTCTGAACAACATTTGTCTGTGTTATAGCCAACAGAGCTCTTCGCGGCTTCTTAGACACGATGGAAAAACGTGTGTGCCAGTGACAGTCATGAAGATTCAATCTACTTGAAAATTAGCAGATTAAAACATAAAACACAGACTGGTGCAGTTTGTATTAGGTAGCCTGTATTTTTTTAGTGTTCCCTTCACACCCAGATACCTTTAGGTACCGATTGTGGCAGTTCAAAGCAGGGACAATGACACAGACAGATAAAAGCAAGCCATAGCTACAGGGAACGACAAATGAGAAAAAGTCCACAAAATAATGCTGAAAATCAAATCAAAAGGCAATAGAACAGATGAGGACACACACTCAGAGCAAACTGTTTCAAGCAGGCTTTTGTAAAACTAGAGGGCTTGTTCATTATCTTGGGTTGTTTCTCCTCAGCACTTTTGACTGCAGAGTTCCCAAGAGCATATAAAATATTGCATATACTGCAACGAGCAAATGGACAATTCTATGTAGCTATGAGACACAATTTAAAGGTCCAGGCTATAGGATTCAGTGGCATCTAGCAGTCAGTTTGCAGAATTGCAAAAAACAGAATATCTCCCATCTCACCTTCCCTTTCCAAGAATGACAACAGTAGCCACTGAAAACCTGATAGGTTCTGTTGAGAACAACTGTTCTGTTTGTCTGTTCTGTGCTACTGTAGAAACATGGCGGTGAAACATGGAAATATAAAGGGTTTGTTCTAGGGTAACAAATACGTAATTATTATTTTATGCACCAATAAACACATATTTAGAATATTATACTCCATTTCAGCCAATAGATCCCCCTAAATCCTACGCACTGGACCTTTATTAGACAGATTTTGTTTAAAAACTCTCATGCATTTGCATGATGGAATTTTCCAAAAACATTTTAAAGGGAAGTAGTTTCGTGACGTTGAGCCATTGTACAACCAAACATGACTGAGGTGTAAAAAAGGTAATGAAGTACTCTCTCGTCACTCTCTTCTCATCAGTTTTTGCTGTAAACTGACCTCAAAAGCACAAAGTACATCTCTCAATGACATGCTTCCTTAAAATGTTTTACTGTGAAGTATTAATCAGGCCTCATGTAAAGCTAACAATTTGAGACAGAAACCGTCTCTGCTCAGGGAGCTGAACGATAAATTCAGCCGTCTTTGGGAAAGTAAACCCACTAGTTTCAATGGCACAACTCCTACCAATTAACAGCTCAGGCTTAGGAGAAAAAGGCGATCGATCAAATCAATCAGATCAATCGAGGTGTTTCACCTCTGTCGCGCCAGCTCCCGTTCCTGCCCCCCGGCGGGAAGGGATTGAAATTCATATCCATCAGAGGGCCATCTTGGTGCCTAACCAGATCTGGTCTCATCCCCGAGCCTAATGGGGAAGAAAGCAAACCAATCACAAGTCTTCCCTTCATAAACTTCCACGTGCTAACTGAAGGCCTGTTGTAGCCCAGCAGCATGGGGCACCAGCCACTAAGCGAAAGAAGAGATGTGGAAAGGGTGGGATGGAGGGCTGTAAACGCAAAATGGAGAAAAAAAAAATAAAGAGAGAAGCTGGCAACTCCATTGTCTCCTACTACTTGTGTGAGGCAGCCAATCCAAGATTTGTAAGGAGTTCAAGTTGGTAGCTTGCCAAGGAAAAGCTTTTCAGCAAACTGCTTGTCAAGGAATGGTGTGGGAAATTGTCAGTGAGCAGAAAATTGCAGCCAGGGAAGGATCACGTGTTCAACTGGAGGTGAAGTGGGACAAACAAAGAGCAAACCAGATGGAGAGGGAAACATGCAAAGACACAGGGCTGCCAGGAGAGATTTAAATGCTGACAGATCCCTCAACACAGTATATATACTACAAAAGACTAGTCTTGGTTCCATGCAGGTGTGAGTAGTAGCAATGCCTGGACTGTGCTAACTGAGTAGCACTGCTAGACAAAAAGCAGAATCTTAACTCATCCCACTTAAAGTTTTAAGACACTTGTCACATAATGATGGTTATTTCAATGTGTGGCACTGCTTTGTATTTAAAAAAGAAACAAACAAAAATAAAACCTGCATATGGACAACAAGCCTGAAAACGACAAGACAAACCTTAACTGACCCATAAACCTCAATAGGTGAAGGAGCATGACCACTGGCAGCAGTGACAGATCCATACACCTTATAGTGAGCTTGCAATATGAATGATGATGTGTATGTATTCACAAGACATCCATTCATGAGATTACGTCTACAGCTGAAACTTGAAAATGTTGTATGCCTTTCAGTAAAAACAGGAGCACAATTAAGCAGATTTTTCAGACACGGTCAGAAAACAAACATTTTCAGTCATGAACTCACTTTGTCTGGGAGAGTAAGGCTGTTGCAAAATGTAACAAAGCCCACTTTAATCTGGTACTAACTATTAAAATATCTAAATTAGTTTAGGAGGAACTTAGCAATATTAATGGCGAAATTGCCCTGATAGCAGGTTACCTCCAAACCTCATCTGATATTTATTTGGTATGTATTTGTTTATAATATCTGACGTGCTACAAAATAAACTTTCTTTAATTAAACCTATGTATTATCTTTCAATTAACAACTGGATGGAGTGTTATCTCCTCCCTACTGGCAACCAATACCAACACTTGTTACCAAACTAACCAGGAAAATGTGGTGGTGGGCCTCCAGGCCCGACAGGACCAGGGAAGCGGTCCCCTCCAGGGCCAGGTGGTCCAGGGAACCTGCCCCTTCCTCGGCCGCCCATGGGGAAACCACCACGAGGGCCAGAGCCAGGAGGACCAGCTTTACCTTCCCCTGACATCTGGCCTGACTGGGTACCTGTGGAAAGAATGAGACAATCACAAACTCACTTTTCTATTTAATATGTAAATAATAATAATAAATGTGCTTACAGTTATACATAGACAACAGCCACATGACACAGATCAAAAACTTTATACATACATAATTATGAAGATTGTAAGTGAAGTTCATGTATGTAACGTAGTGCATTGTGGTGCAGTGTTTGTTCAGTTTCAGCACAAAACTGTCATGTTAATATGAAAGTATAAAAAGGTACTCAGTGTCCACTTGCCAGACGTACTTTTGCGGGACTGCATCTCGAATTGGCTGAGGGACTGTTTGTTGCAGGGTGTGACGATGGGATTCTGACCATGGAGCTCCCTTTTTGACAGAAGCTCCATTAACTTTCTAGATGATGCCTCTGAGCCAACACACACCAGAGCAAACCTAAAAAAAGCACACAGAGGACAAACACAATCAGACTTGTGCAAGAACATCTCAGAGTCCAAACCAGAAGAATTTTTCAGTCGATAGAGTTTTCTAATGTCTCATGACTTTGAGCCCAGATTGCCCAAACGTCACAAACTAGCACTCAATACACAATTAAATCAAAGCTAAAAAAAAATGTGAATCAAAAGCGTCATTTTCTGCAAGAAAAGTCATTGGCACTCAAGCTTTAGTATTTCCATCACTAGCCATAACAGCAGCAGACATTGTAGGATTTCACTCTGTACTCATAATAACCAAGAAAATCTATGACTTAGCCAAATTATATCATGCATATAAAATAAAGACCTCACCCTTTCGACTGGCCATTGGCTCGGTTTTCAAAGAACTTGATCTCCAGAACATCTGTAATGCCTATCGACCGGATGGCTTCTGTCAAGTCCTCATCTGTTGTCCACTGCAAAAGTGAAGACAGCGTTTATTGAGTCAGCATCGATCTGCCTAATTTGACTTGGATGTATTGTTTTACAACTTGCAAGCCAAATGTGGGTCGACATTTGAAATGGCACAAATATTGTTTTGACAGATTAGAGGAATCTGACACTCACCCATGTAAGATTTCCTATGTACAGGGCAATCCTTTTGCCTGTGTAGGTGTACACAACGTTTGGTGGGGCACTTTTTCCTCCCTCAGTTCCACCTGGGGCAGGCAGCGCATCCAGGTAGTCACGGTCCTCTGGAGCATCGCCATTATTGGCTGATGGAGATATTACATCATCATACAGGTCGATCTGCTCGTGAACTGGATAGTCAGCTTCCTGTTGTAAGATGACAACGACAATTCATTTAAAAACAGACTGTGAGGAGTTTAACAATACTGATTGCATCTGTGAGCATTTGTAGGTCTGACAAAGCTGCACAACATTCAGTACCCAAACATATAATAAGACAGAGTAATGTTTTGATTCTTCACTGCATCCAGAACACACTACAGGGGTATAGTTTTTGTGGTTTTTCTTCTGTGTAGTTGCCTTTATCAGTTCAGTAATGCCAGTAACATTCAATTGCACCATGCTGACAAGATACTGTGAATTTCCAGTGAACTGCTAACCCAGTGACACCTTTAATAATAAACTCTGTCAGTAGTATTTCTGTTGCCATGTAAAATGCAGTAGAGCTGGTAGGACTCTTGCACACCACCAAACTGTTATAAAGATGTTAATCAGGTGAACTAATATCAGTAACACTGTTAATGTTGTTTAATTGTTATTTTCCTTACACTTCTCTTTGAATCTGTACAGCCCTTTGTAAGCCTGTTTTGAAAAGTGCTATATAAATAAAGTTTACTATTGTTATTATTGTTATTATTACTAATAAAATCTAGATCACTAAGAGTGCTTTTGGCAAGTGAAGACGTCAGTCATATTTTCAGGGCCTGTGAACAATCACAACTACCCTGAATTAAGGCATTGTGCAGCTGACTATAAATAAATGCCTGTTGAACAGGTTAGTAGAGAAAGTACAGTCATTGTGTACGCGCATTCATAGTATTACTGCATGTCCCAGTTGTGTGTGCACGTATATTGCGTAACTGAAGAGAGAAGTCAGGATAGCAAGTTTAGTGGACCTATATATTCGTCTCGAGATGACCCTTCAGTCAGTAAACTAAATAATCCAACTTAAACTGTCTAAATTGAATAGATATATAGACGGAAATGAACGTATAGACGAATACATTTTACTCTGATGTAGAAAAGTTAAGTACCTCAGTAAGTAAACGTAGTATCAGCTTTGTTTAGATCAGGAATTATTATCTAAACACATGTTCTTGAAAAGACGTTTGCTGTCTCTACACAATTCATAAAAAGTCAATAATTTGTGTCTTAGAATAGGCTGAAACACTTGCACAGAAAGGGGTGTGTGCATGTAAGACGAAAACATGCACCGAGCAGACAGAAACGCTACACCAAGCTAGCTGCAACGAGCTAACAATTAATACACAATTGAAATGCGTTTCTAATTCATTATTTGGTGTTTCAGACCTCTGTCATTCCGTGACATTTAATTCAAGTTCGGTTTAACCTTATGCTTGCGTGTGCCGGTTGATAAAACAAAGGACTCAGCGAACAGAACTACTTGAAAAGCTGCGAATAAGTTAGCTAACGCCAGCTAGCTAAGGAAACTGCGTTTGTTTGGCTCGCTAGCCCGCCACGGGCGGCCATGCCGAGGCCTGAAACTGCGCTCAAAGAATAAAGCGTTTTATTCTAACATTTAAACAATTAAAAACTATATGCACGTCACATATCAATAACTACATAAATAATGCGTCGTGTTAAATGTCGACAACATCTCAAATGCAACACTGCAAGCCGATGTACAGTTGAGGCTGCAGGCTTTGCAGCATGGTGAAGGGGCCTGTACGAGTGATGAGAGCGCGTTTGAAAACCCCAGCACGCCATTTTTCGATTATAATAACGACAAAAGACTGCGTAGATATACAAAATTAGCACCACTGGAAGACGTGTGGGAGGATAAGTATTTAGTACCTGGTTGAATTCCTCCTCTACGTCGGCATAGATATCGATGTGATCCACACCGTCCGCCATTTTCCTCTGACCCGTCGCTCTCTCCGCCCGACGGTGCAGCGGCACAACACAAACAATGAAAACGAGCGAGGCGAACAGCGCCCCCGCAGGCCGCCGTCAGTCACTGCAGCACCGTGTTACCACAGTCAAGTACAGAGGTCACGTTTACCAGAGGACTCCAACCACTCAAGTCATTTTAATCAAACTACTATTACTTATTTATAAGATTACAGTTATTTTCAGATGCTGATATTCTTACTTTAACTGTAGTATAAATGTTATCTAACACATTCAGAATTTTAAAAAAACAACAACAAATAAATAAGATTAAAACAATATTATCATTGCCAATTAATTTTGAGTTAATGGACCCCTAACTTTACAAAAACGTTATCATTAATACTGAAATTCCAGAGATACAATACAAACTACAACAGATGATGAGCTTATCCAGCGAGTGTTACGGCAAGCTATGATATTATTAACCTGACATAAAGTCAGTTAGTTATCCTTTTAGAAAACACACACACACACACACACACACACACACACACATTTAGTGCTGCTATCTCTTATGCCACTCTATTAGACGATGATGTGTGTAATTTATCAGAAGTCTAACATTAGTAAGGCCCTTCAAAGGTCCTCTTAATCTTTCACATTTTACAGAAAAAATATTTGTTGTCTTTTGTTCAGACTACTTGATACCCACCATATGACTTTAATCTTAATCGTAAAAAAAAGAAGTTTGTAAATGTATGTCCTCATAAAAAACACACAGGCCTGTTTTGCACTGTCAAAATATTTCATCAACATCCCTTCAAACCACTTTTTTTTTTTTTTTAATTTCCTCAAACTAGAAACATGATTTTATTTGATTTGAAAGACTAAAAAAGGTCAGTATCATCCAAGGAAAGACACAAAATTAAAACTGGAGGTGTCTTATCTCTGTTAACTTGGCTTTGCCATGTTTTCATTTTTTTATTTAGAAGGTGTGCATTCTGACTCAACCGTAAAGCGAGGATGACCTCACTGATAATTTGTAGCTATTGTGTCGCAGTTTCTCACGATGTAGAATTTAAACGTTTTAAGTATGATTTTAAAAAATAATTCCTTACTTTCTATAGGATGTCTCTTCTCTGTCCTCAAGGGGCTTCCGCATTATGATCTCCACTCAAAATGACATTTCAGAATCCCTGGCAGCGCTATGTCAAATGAAAAGCCAAGTTTCTATTTCTGATGATCAACACCTTAAAAAGTGACTAACAGTTTTATGTCTACTGTTGACATGCTTTAGGCTGGGAGGCACTGAGTACATTAACATGAAAACTGTACTGGATCATTCCACAGATGAGTCATGTAATTTTCATATCCTCTTGAAGCATCTGAAAAATGAATCAAACAGCCCTGATACTGCAATGTTCATAACTTCCACTGACAGAATCATACTGTCTTCACCTGCCAACAGTGTTTACTGATGGTATTTTGTTGCTGCAGATAATTTAACATCTTAAAAGTGTTTCTGTTATGATCTAAAAGATTTTAGGCAAAAAAATATGCCAAATATTGTAAATACATATCAAAATATTCCATGATCAAGTAATTTTGTCATATCTTGATTCATAATCTATATTATAAATACATTTCATTGCAAATAAAACTATCAAGTTGAAAAATGTCAAAAATTGCAAAAACTATATGTATATTTTTACAGAGCAAATAAAAGCTTAACTACTGATATATCTTAATAAATACCTGCCCATTTCGTTTCATCTTTTTTAAATGTGCAACGGTATTAATCACCAACAGACAGAACAAAATTCAAGTGACAACAAATTGAGTACAAAAAAAAAAAAAGGAAATCATGGATAATTTATTTTAATTTGTACAAATCATGGCTTCAGTTAATGTGTGTCATGCCACCAATACAATATACAGAATATTGTACAGAGGAATGAACAAACAAAAGTGGTACAGATGAACAAATGACTTTCATAACGTCACCACCACAGAGCATACTGCTATGATGCACATCCACACATACGATATGTGACTGAATCAGTAACATAAAGAGGTAAAATCTCAGGCAATGTCGTCATCAGAGAGAGCTCAACTTAAGGACATGCTTTGTAAGGTGATTAAAAAATACCATAGAAAAAGGTACATGGATTCCCACAGGCCAAAATGCAATGAAAAACTGAGCGAAACAGCTCAAAAATATAAAACACACAAGCAAATGTATACAAAAATACCATATGCAATGAAATTTACACTGAGACTACATTTGCATTAACATGACATTTTCAAAAATTAAGCTATTTCCAAGTTTCTTCCTCGTTTCTCAAAGTGAACATCCATTTTCTTTTGCGTTAAATGAGGAAATTATAAATTCAGATTTCTCTTCATGGAACGTAATAAGTAGCAGATTCAGGAACTAGCAGCCAAAGTTTCCAGCAAAAAAAACATGTCAATTAGTTTTAATTCCCCGAAGATTTTCATGTTTTTGTGAAAGTGCAAATAATCCTTCGTGGCAAGCGCATGCAAAGTCAAATCTAAACCAACTATATGCATTTTGTTAAATTACCTCTACTGTTTGTAGAACTACACCCTGTGAGAATCTACAGCACGTTTCTGCTTTACACACGTCCAGCCCAACAGACAGACAAACATAATTACATCCAGTATGTACAAACACACAGAAAGACAAAAAGGCAGACAGACATTTAAAAAAAAAAAAAAAAAAAGTAATCCAAGTAAAAACTAAAAAGTAGATCCAGAAGACGCTGACAACTCCAATCTGTTTAACTGTACTACATATTTATGTTACCTTCACCTATATAGAGCCCAAATGCGACTACTTTCCAGGCACTGAGCCGTTATCTGTCAAATCCCCCATCAATAATCCATTAATACTGCAAACAACCATGTAAAACACGACTCTCCCCAGCAGCACAGCAGTGGTTCCCTCCATACTGCTGTAGCCCTCTTTTCAGTAGCAATTATTAAACAATGTGACAAAATCTGTGGACAAAGCATTGTGGGTGTGTTTGGAAGTGTGCATGCTTGCATCCGCATATATAATATGCATGTGTGTCTGCAATATTCAGCTCAGTAGGGTACGGGAAGTGAGTAACAGGGTTTTTCTCCCCCTTCGGACTTTGTTGTTTTATGTTGCACCTCATGACTCATAATCCCCTTTTATAAATGCACATCATGGCCACCACTTGAATCTCTTTAGTCCCTTTTCATTCTGAGATGCAAAGTGGTGCATGAGAAAATAACTAATGGAAAAGTATCCATGGCAACAACGGTCCATTAACTTTCTTTTCTTTTTTTTTTTCAGTTTTCAGTTCAGATGTAATAATTCCCAGGACAGTAAACCACATCCAAGGTCCTTCAAGAGAGCAGAGGTTTGTGAGCAAAGAATCAGTTACGCAGTTAAATAAAAAAAATCCACTGCTGGTGCACAGTGTTCCAACAGATGTCTCGATGTTTTCCAACCTTCTTCGTTTTAGAGAAGGTGAAAGTTGTCCATCATCAGGAAACAAGTACAGCGAAGGAGAGACAGGTGAAGAACAGAGAAGTGGAGAGTGATATAAAAGAAGCTCCTCCACAATCGCCAGCATTTTCCTACAGGGACAAACAGAAAATGAGTTCACTTTGACTTTCTACGATTGTTTCTGTGATCAAAGAGTGCAGTCCTGAGCTAAAAAACAATGGAGCAAAGTAAAGAGAAGCTGACCTGCGGGTGAAAAGAGTGGCAGGACTCGGGGCGTCTGCGAATCTTCTGGGACCTCATCCTGTCACACTTCACTGATGCGTTATGTACAGCGGGGTCAAAGAACAACAACAGGAACAGGAGAGGCTTCTCTTTGCAGTTTGCAGTTCAAATCATTAACATCGAAGTTATAGTGTAGCAGGCACACAACAGGTAATCATCTAATTTGCATAAAAGATGTAATATGATACATTTATATTGGGTTTTGTGCTTGTTCAAACCTGGAAGTGTAACGTAAAAGCTGTTAAAAAGAAGATGTTTACTTCTGACGCCCCCCACAGCGAGCTAGCCTCTGAGATTTTACAACCCTGTAAGAGTCTTAATCAACTGCTGCGTTCCACATGAGGAAGCAATGGTTGTGTCGCTTAAACTTTGCATAATCCCCTTCATTGCCTCCAGGTGAGTCATTCAGAATGCCGCACAGTCCACCAGTTTTATTTACTTCTACAACTGCTTCTGCTAACTCTAAAATGTCCCAGCCACAAGCAAAGGTTCTGCTGATGGCTGTGTGAGTGAACACAACAGTATTCATGCACTCACAACATCTGAGGAAATGAAGATCTAATGGATTCGGTTATTTTTGATGGTAATGTCCCCAAAACAACAGAAAAAATCGTTAGTGTTAGCACATTGTGTGGGTAATGTGGCCAACATTACCATAAGTTTTGATGGTATGCTGTCAGTAGAAATAGTGAATGAAATGCAGCCCGTTAAGACAACATGATAACCAGCAGTCATAGCCATTTTGAAGCTGCCACTCTGCACGGTGAACAATCCCAAATGTACAGGGACACAATGCTTGAGGCAAGCACACCTAATCAATACACAATTATGGTGTTCATAGGTGGGAAGCCAGTCATTGTTTCAGCTTTGGCGACTCCTGCTTGTTGGTCTGTCAATACCCTCTCCAGAGCCAGACGGAGTTCAGTGCACTGCAGCGGTACTTCATTTGGGAGAAGGACAAAAAGGGCATCAAACAGATTAAGTTGTCTGGTATAATTTGGTTACTCAGGGTACATGATCATACTATACTATTTAACATTACAAATAGTAAAATAAATAAATAAAATAAAAAAAATTCAGTTTTATAACCCTTTCCCAAGCGTGCTGCTAACATGGCAGGGAGTTGTACACTGAAATATAAACTGCTGCCAACTAAAACTAGATTTATGCGTCAAGTCAAGTCGCAGTTTACATCCATGTTTGTTCAGATACATATAGTATACTCTATGTAGAGAAGTATTTGAAGGAATTTGTCTGGTGGGCATCCAAGACTAAGGTGACCAAATCAGTACCTGACCAATTGTGAAATATGGTGACAATCTCCTCTTATGTTTCAGTTATGTCACAGTGAAGCCGACCTTTGGGATTATAGAGCTCATTGTGTCATGACTAAACCTATTAAACATATATCTGAAATTGTGTCATTGTTAGTGTGTGAATTCTTGAGTTAGGGCAAAAAATGTGTTTTGTGAGATTGCGGCGACCTTTGAGGACCAAAATCCTGAATCGACCCTTTGTACGAAGTTTGATGAATCCACCTCCAGGATATCACAGTCACAAGAATGGAATGGACATGGGGTCTCAAGGTCCTTAGTCTTTTATAAACAGAACATTCTCTAGATCTGTCACAGCATTGTGTAGAATGGTGTGACAACACCTCATCATCATTCCGATACGGCAGGAAAGTTCTGGCATGTTTGTATTTCTGTAAACCAATCACAGCCATCTTGGGCAGGGCTAAGAACAGGATGCACTGACGGTGTCCATTCAAAATAGTGACGGAGGGATTGCTTTGGTGGAATGTTTGGGTGCAGAGAGGTGAGCTCTGCCAATAAAATGGATAATTCCAAGTTTATACCTGCAGTCTACATCTGGTGAGTCAGACTACACCAACCATGACCGATGACCACCAAAACCTGATCAGCTCATCATCGTGTCCAAGTGAGCATGTGTGATTGAGTTGAAGAAATTCCCCTAAAGTGTTCATAAGACAGCCAACTAATAGACAGCCACATTTTGGAGGCATAAAAACTGCTCAAAACTACCAAATCTGAAAAGTGTGCTTGTGCTCAAGAGCTCTGAGTGAGAATGTCAGACTTGAAGAAAGTCAGAGTGGTGCCACGATTAAATTTAAATAAGCACTCTCTGAGAAGATCTAATTTGGCAAGAGTGTTAGATAATTTCTGGAGATGAACCCACTTACTGCATGAATATAAACATCAAAGGATATATTTGACTTCCTTGGGCTCCATGTTGATCCGTGAGTACTGTCTGGAGCAGTCACAGTCTGCTTGTACCACCAGCATCAACAGGTTGCTGTCCGGTATCTGTTGCACTACAAACATCCTGATGTGCACAAAAATGTAAAGTGTGACAATGTGCAACCAAACAAAAACACATAAGAAGCAAACCTCTTCAGTCATGTATGACATATACAGCACAATGTAATACATATTAGTTTTAATAAAAACATAATCATATATAATAAATAATTTCAGACACTGGAACATAGCATTGAAGAATAACTGCACATTTTACTGAGTTGCATAAACTAAACACTACTAAAATGTAAGAATCTTGCCCAGAATGGAGTGGAAGCGATGGTTGTGCTGTGTTATACCACGTTTCACCTCATGAGGGTGTTCACACACAAATTATGAACCTTCTGCGAATCCTTCCTGCCTTTCTCCTCGTCCCCCTCCATTTGCCTCCCACTGTTTTTCCATCTTTGTTTCTGTCACTCACTCTCCTCACTGGCTTTTTTTCATTTACCTCTCCTAATGCTTTCCGTCAGTTTTCCACTCACTTTCCATACGCTTCTCGGTCTTTCCATAACCCTCCGTGCCCTGATCTAATTCAGTTCCTCTCTACTTATTTCCCTCTTCCTGATACCCTTGTATAAATACACACTGCTCTCAGTATGCAGAGCAGAGCAAAGCCGTAGAAAATGGATTTTGGAAGGACAATTTAATATGACTGGTCTAGAGCTTAGAGAGGCCTGCACTGCTACTTGTGTGTGTGTGTTAAGTGTGCAATGAGTGTGCACTTACTTCTGGCATCGTCCACACTTTATAATGCTGTTGGTCTCTTTGACTGACGGCTCGTAAACGAAGCTGGGGTACTCGGTGTCACACGGCTGCAGGATGTCCCCTTTTTTCTTGTGAGCTGAGGCTAATGGAGAGTAAGGGTCACGTGTTGAGGTTGGCAATTTAAATGAGTTTGTGTGAAAGTTGACTGTAAATGTGACATTTTGTTGGTGACTGACAGGCTAGGAGTCTGTGACAGCAGAATGAAGGCTAATATCTAAATGCTTCACACTCCAGCTCCTGATTGCTGTTTCTGACAGAGCCAGAGGCACTTTAGCTCACTGTGTACTCCAAACAAAATTGAATATGGTGTCTGTGTACAGGTAAAATGATGGGTTTGGAACCAGAGAGAGGAGCCATAATGGCTTGTCAGAATTTCACACGTCTGGTTGAGAGCTGCGTTTTTTGCTTGGCTTCTTTCGAGTTACATTAGCTTCAATAAAACTCTACGCTCGGGTCTTGTTTTGAAGCCAGCTGTGTCTGCTCCCACTAAAAGCTACTTATGCAATCACACACACAAAATTGTATTTTTGTTTGAAGTATACTGTAAACACTACGCCACACACGAAACACTAGTGATTTTACAGAACACCAGTCTTCCTTAGAAACACCCTAAGACGGATACTTACAACCGCTGACAGCTGGTTTGGCTGAATGGAGGACGACGATGGTAATGGAGCGGATGATCGACAGGCACAGTAATGAGGAGGATGAATGTATGATTGATGACAGACAGAGGCAAATGAGAGGTGATAACATCAGAGGATTGACGGTGTTGTCGTTCCATAATGACTTCCAGACTGATGATCAATATCAGGACTCAATTTAAACACTCCACAACATACATGCTTGTTTATGATATGAGTGGAAAACGAGATGGATATTTTGTGTAAAATGTAAATGGTTGGTATTGATGCAGACTTCCTCCATTTATGGGAATATTTAAATAGAATTTGGGATCCCTTAGTGGTCTACAAAAAACATGCAGATAATGTACGATTAAGCCCTAAATTACTCAAAAATGTTGCTTTATTTTAAGTTCTTATTTGGCCAACAGGTTTCTTTTGGCTGGAAATGACAATAAGACATTGTGTTAGACAGGTTAAAATCTTCAATTTACTTTAAAAGCCAATTAAAATGATTCAATATCAGTGACAAAGCCTTCATTTGTCACCACATCAATCAAACCTAAAGAGTTTTTTACACGCCTCCGCTGGGAGCTGCTTCTCTTTGAGTTTATAATTCTCCTTGCCATCACTCTGGTCTTCACTTCTCTTTATAGATTCTCGATGGGATTCAGGTTTGGACTCCAACATGCTGGTATTGCTTTCTTTTTAATGCTTTTTCGACCGCTTTGGCTGTGTGTATAAGACTATTGCCTGCAGGCAGTCTAACGTTTTCCTCCAGAATCATAATGTTATCCTCTTTTAACACAATGTCATTTGCATCAACAAGGTTGTCTGGCCTATTTGAAAAATAACCCCAAAGCTTTACATTCCCAACAGCTGTGGAGGTGTTGCTCTTGGGGTTGAATGTTTCCCCTTTCTTTCCTCAAAGGAAAAGTTTCTGTGTCCAAACAACTCCCAACGGCCTCAGAGCTGATCACCAAACGCTTCCTTCTTTGTCGAGGTGAACTTTCTTGTGCCTGTCTGAGAAGTGAAGTCCTCTTCGTTGACTGTCCATTGACACTAGCCTTTTGTAGCGTTCGCTCAGTTGTCTGCCTTGAGATGCTGGTACCAGAACTGCTCAGATTCACTAGAATGGATCTGATTGTGACCCTTGGATTCTTCTTGGCCTCTCATACTACCACCCTTTCCAGTTCAGGCATCAATGTTGGGTTCCACGTCCTTCATATTGTTCACAGTGTGGAACTCCTTGTACTTTTTGATTACGCATTGTGCTGTGACCACTGGCACTTGAAAACACGTGGATACGACTGTATAGACTTTCATCTGTCTTGTGAGCAGCCACAATGCGGGACTCTCTCAGTGATGGATCCATAATTACAAGATCACTAAGCTCTTTGCTTTTAGCCATGGCTTGCATTTAACCAGTAACTGACTGGAGAGCCACTGCATCAGGTGTGCTCAGTTGTTAGTGTATTTGAATGCTTTAGAACATGGTAGAAATTGCAAGGACCATTTGAAATGTACAAAAGCTTGCACTTTGTCAAAAGAATAGTGATAATGTCACAAGGACATAGCATTTTTAGAAAAAAAGGTTTAAAAAAACATAGAAATTGTTAAAATATATCCTTAATATCGCTAACACACTGTCTTTTGTCACTTGTTTATTCCATTTCCAGCAAGAAGAAACCTTCTGATCAAGTAAAAAATCATGATAAATCAAAAACTGGTGTAAGTATAAATAATTCTGGGCATGATATGTGCATTGTTAAGAAATGGTTAATGAAACAAACACTGCAGTCGTCCAGGTTTTGTCTGAGGCTTGTGTCGATTAACAAAACATTCATAACTTCCACATTTAACCTTAACTGGCCACATGTTTTTTTTCTTTCTGTGTGAGCTCACCTTCAGCAAAATGCTCCGTGTGCCAGAGGCCACAGATATTGAACTCCAGGAGAAACCTTGCGAAGGAGAGGGAAGAGGAGAGTGGACACAGAGAAGGAGTCAATTAGGTGGCTGTAATTATAGACCAAAGCAGATTGCAAGCAGATTGTACGCAGCTTTCAAAAACTGGGCCAGGACCCAAACTTGTGTCATGGGAATAAAGAAAATGGGTCCTCAAGTTATTCAGCAGTAATTGGTAGCTTTGGTATTTTCCTAACTGCATCACCAGACTGTTCCTTTTTAAATGAAGCTGCTGGATGTATTCACTGACTTCATCCTGACCAAGTCAGTGGAATCAAAAAAAGCAGGTGGCTTTCTAAATAAAAGCTCTCAACTCAACTTCATTTGTTTCATTTTTAGTCTGTTTTTATAAAATCCATCAGTATTGAATTATTTTCTTGCCGAGCATTAAACGAGAAGATCAACACCACCGTGGTGTCTGTATAGTAAATATGAATGTATTGTCTGCAGCTTAGTTGATGAAAACAGGTGGAAACAGCTAATCTGGCTTTGTTCAAAGGTATAAAACCTCCACCTACTCGCATTTCCAAAGCTCACTAATTAACATGACACATCTTGTTTGTTTAATCCATTAAAATGACTTAATTAATCATTTTTTAGTTTTTTTTTTTTTTTCTAAAATAACATCTTGGGATTTGCTGTGTGTGTACTATCAGTGTTGCCATCCAAGAAACAAAATTCCCTGAAAATAAACAGAATTTACAGCAGCAAATTTTTTTAACTATTTTATTTTGGATACGCTGCAACAAAAAAAACTAGACCAGCCAACTCTGGTTGCCCCTAGCAACACACTTACAGTAGGAAGTTGGAGAGGAACCACTTGAGGGTTGAGGCCAAACCATAGAAGGGCTGAAGAGATAGATGGACAGAATATATTCATTTCAGACTTTTCCAGGACCTTTATGGGAATATGACTTTATGCAGTGTGAGTTTATGGTACATACACTGAGAAGTGGACGGGCGCTGCTGACAGAGTGCAAGTTGATCTTACACATGGCCTGGTAGTCGAACAAGGATACCCTGAGGAGACAAGCCCACACACACACACACAAAGCAAATAGTGTTGCTCTTCTGTCAGGATTTCGCTGACTTACATTGATTCCTTGACCCCCTCCAGACTACCACACACAGTGCTGCATGACTGAGCTTAACCTTTACAGAAACCCTGATAGCTAACTCAACTTAGAAAAGAGAGAGAAAAAAAAAAGATCATCTCACTGCCAGAATAGCTTTTCAGAGATGGGATTGACCAAGATTCTTATTTTTGTTTTTTTCTAATCTGTGAATATGTGGCGCTTTTGCAGGTAGGACACACAAAAAAAAAATATGCACACAAATTACAGATGTGCGCATATGCAGATTGAAACATACACACATTGCCACTGGAGTCCATGCATGCTCAGAACCAGTTATGTAATATCCTGTGTCAAATGAAGCATGACGAAATCTTTTAGCTGTTTAAAAATAGCACATCACTCAAGAGATTTCAAACATAAAAGACGGGCAAAAACTAAGAGGGGGGAGAAGAAAAAAAAAATCCAGAGCTGTCAAATAAGCTCAAAGTGCAGCAAAAACAGGGAAGTAGCTATATGACAAACACCAAGATGGCTGAATGAACTGCTCTTAATAAACGACACAGAGCAGATATGAGCATCATATGGCGTATACGTGCATTGATATAGATACTAATGCATGGTGGTTAAGAAGCAAAATGAAAATAGGAAACATTTACACCTCCTGATTAAGACGATAGCCTGCTGTCTGCGACACAGCGTGAGGTGACGCATTCACGAGCGTGATTCAAATGCACAGTTTTCTGAGACACAAAGACAACATAAGATGGCACTTCACACTGCAGAGTGAGCGCCGAGGATCCCGTCAGAATCAGGTAACCTCTTGTCCTTTTGTAACAGGCAGACGAAGGAGAAAACAGAAACACAACTATCTTGTCAGCCAGGTGTTACCTTTTGAACATGCCCATTCGGATCAGCGTGGTCATCACTGATCCGTCAACCTCGCCGAAGAACCTCCCCGCCTATCGGGAGAGACAAAGGAAATATAAACACTGCAAGACAATCAGTGCGTCTGAACGTATCAGTGTCAGGTCCCTTCTGTGATGTTCATTCTTAACCCTTTAACCTCAGAGTGAACTGTGCGATCAATTATTCATTAATGTTACACCGTGTGATGGTTTTCTAGCGACATATGTTGCCAAGAGGTTCACATTCTATAGCCACTACTTCATTACATGCACAGTTGTAAGAAAAATATTAACATTTTTGGATTTAGATAAACGTTTAAAGTTGTAAATATTGTTTTAATGAGCTGTGCTGACAGAGCAATGTTGGTGATTGCATCAACTTAACATTGTGAGTAGATTAAAATTCTTATTTTTAGTGATTTTAAACTAAACTCAGCTTGTAATAAAAAAATAAATAAAAATTTTTCTTCATCATGAATTCAAGATTGCAAGTCCCTTCTCCTACCCATTTAATATGCCTGGAAAATAGCTTAGACTGTTTGTTAAAGAACTAGAAAATATTGCACAAAGGACATTTCAAGGTGAGTATCATTTCTATTAGAAATGAAATTCTTCGAAAGCAATGTGTCTACAAGTAGGTGACTTGCATAAAGAGGTGCTGATGCAGCTGATGGAAAATGTTGTACTGTTGTATGGAAGTAAATCAGTCATATTTAGCAGTACGCTTTGGCCATTCTGCTCTTTAATAATCATAGCAGTGGATAACAATGATAACATGTCAGGATTTTATGATTTAACTTTTGCTTTTTTGTGTAACTGTCAACCATCAAGTCTTTGTCAAGCCTGACATCTGCTTTTAAAAATTGTTAGAACTTGCTTTAACAGGTTTCCTGTCTTATTGTCTTTGGTGCCAATTGAGCTCTATGGAAAATCAATTCACTTGAAGCAAAAAAACAAAGAATTTTTAACCGCTGTATGTCAGAGTTCACACAGATGTAGCGGTTGTTCCTCTTCAGCTAATGTGCAGGATGGGTCATTTTCTACAATGTTGAATTCTTCCATTTACGTGTTCTACAGATAAATGAAGAATTCAAGAGAATATCTATTGTAATAGATTCAAACTTGACCATCGCACTACAAAACTAATGTCTTTATAAAGGTGAGAAGCTACAGGAGGGAGAATCGAGCTTAAATGATTGCCAACTTAAAAACTTACTACTGTTCATAAGTTTGGTAATTAGGTACATGACATTTGAAAAATCTTTTTAAATAATGTGGAAAAACGAGGTGAAGCGGTTTAATTTTTATTAGTAATCAGCATCTTGCTGAGTTAATCAGCACACGCCTCCCAACCAACCAGGGAAAACTTGTATAACCGCTTAAACAAAGTAAACAAGAGTATTTCCTAAAATCAGGCATTAACACTATTATATGATTTTATTCAAACCTTGAAAACACATATGGACATATTATAAGAGCCTGCACCTCATCAAAACCGTATCGGGTGTAAAAGATTTGCATCTGTTGAGAATATATCCCTTGTTCATGAGCTTCTGCCGGGTCAAATTTAATAAAATTAAAAATACTAAAAAAAGCCTTGTTTAGTACTGTTGTTAAGTTTAGTACTTGCTTCCAGCTCTGCAACTTAATGTGGACGTTTAAAAAGCAAAATAAAATGAAACCAGAGGACAAAAACAAAAAAACCGACCGAGCCCATTGCTGTGCTGCTTATGTTTTGTTGTGTTACGTAAGTGTCAGCTGGGATCTGCCGTCCCTTTTACCTCCCTGTTGTACTACTTACACAGCGGTGATTCACTACCACTGACTCATTTTACTGCTTAACACTGCTTATTATTGATAGCAACTGTGGGGAATGAAGCTGAACTTTGAAAATGCAAATATGTAAAATGTAATAATTGCGACATCACTTCAGGAAGTTGGGCGAAAACAAAATATTCGAAATGTATTTTTTAAACTTTAAAAAGACGGACCCTGGAGGCATAAAAGTCCTTCTGAACTTTAGCGATGGAGTGACCTCGTGTGTAAGCGAGTAGAGAAGCAGAAATAGGATTCAAGAGGTTTGCGAGTCTTATTGAAAACGGAGTTAGACACAGTGTCCTTGCTGCAGACTGGAAAGCTGCTGGTTGACAGAATAAGAGGGAGAAACTCTGGAAGGAAATCGCACATCACTACATAGATACATACAGATATAAATAGTGTAGTATGAATGTATTTCTAAATAATACACAGAGGCTTGTTTGGGGCTGTTCCTCTGTTTCTTCTCTGATGAATATTGATAGGTGGAAGAGCTCTCGAACAATCAAGTCAAAGACGGAAAAAAAACAACACTCCAGCTGTATTCTCAGTGTGATTGCGTGTGTGAGCTCACATCATTGCGCTGTTTAGAAATTAGGACAAAGCCATTATTGTCAATCACGTAGCAGTCGATATCCTGATATGAAAGAAAGAGAGAGAGAGAGAAACCAATTACTTATGTAAAGGAAAGATCTGTGTCAAACCCCACAAAGAGAACACAGACAGCTCAATGGTTTATATAATTCAATGCATGTATTATGAAGTCAGTTTCTTGCTTCAGTGGTTTCATATGCGAACAAAAAGATATTTGCTGAACTTTGTGGAGCTTGACTAATAAAACAATTTATAGTAAAAGCATGCTAGTTTGATTAATATGGCAGAGATATACTCACGATGCTGTCACAGCGAAGAGGACAGATCCCTTCCACGGATGAGCACTGGAGGAATAATTTCACTGTTAACGAGCTGAGAAAGACTTTTTTCACTGACAACATGCAGGTGAAAGTGCTGATGAGGGATGTGATAGGTATTGTTAGAGAAGGGCACGTTTGTGTATGTGAGGACGTGGTTTAAACACATGCTCTGTCTGCGAAAGTGTGAACCTGCAGCCAGTGTTGACAAGCGCATCTGTACGAGTGCGAAGAAATGTGTTGGCGAGAGATTGCTAATTTGCGCGAGATGTGTCGCGTCTACCTGGAACTTGTTTGCGAGTTTGCGCGAGTTTGATTTGCGCTTGTCTTTGAGCGCGTGTGTTCTGTTTTAACTGAGGTGTGAAGCCAACTTCACAGAACTCGGCAGGTGCTGAAGACGGTGAATTTGGTTTGTTGAGTGATGTTTTGAAAAATGAGGAGAGGGGAAATTATGCATACTCACATCCGTGTCGTTTGGCTGAGAAGACACAAAGACAGCAGCAAAGAGAGACAAAAACAAAAAAAAGGAGAGCATGAAGAAAAGGGAAGTATTACTGCAGTTAATGATGCGTAAGTCGATGCATTGACTTACACTGTCTCTGCTGCTGTTAGTTTACTGTTGAAAAAAAGCCACAAATCTTCTGCTCAAAGTTTTAAAATGGAATATAGATTTTCTTTTTCTCCTGAGCAGTTTTTCAATCACACACTTGAACAATTTCAACAAACATTTCCAGTTCTTTCTTCCATCAAAAGTATACATTTCCGACATACCAGCCTATGCAGGTGAACACAAACCTGCAACCTGACGAACAAAATGTGACAGTATTCGTCATGATATCAAACTTTTTCGTCCATCAGCACACTCTGTCCCTCAGCTCCTCCTGTTCCTCCATCTGTGAACTGGTCATAAGTCAAAATGTCGATAATTTCTCTGACTTTATGGTCCCGTTTTATGGTCGCAGTGTATGTAGGTGTCTATGGACAATACGTCTTTGGGATCACGGTCAGGCTAAATAGAGCATGTCCAAGTGTGAATGAGACAATCTATCATCCTTTTCAATCCCATTACAGCAAAGTGTCAGTCTTTCCCTCTGCTTCCCATCGCTGCCTCCTGAAATAAACTACAATTCAGTGGACCGATGGGAAAGACGAGGCTTCCACACACACACACACACATGCACACACACACCACATGCAAATAGTCTGATTTGACAAAATTTGACTGCTAATTAAAGCGAATCATAAAACCCTGCTAATGATTCCAAAAAGGCACAATATTCATTCACTGTATCAAACAGCTATGAAAATTCTTGTAGCTTCACTAAACTTTGGGCTAAAATTGTAGATTTGTTCCTGATGGTGGCACAAGAAGAGAAAAGTGTGGGATCAATAAATCAAAAATCTTCTTGGCAGCATCAATTTGTTCAACAAATTAACTGGAAAAGTGCTCATTAGGTAATGTAATTTGTGGACATGATAGATCTTGCGGTTGAATGAAAGTGGAAAAATTGAATCTATGAGTAAATGTGTAAATTTAATAGGAAAGCAACTGTTTTATTATATATTTTTGGTCTATAAATGGAAAATTTCACAATCTGGTAATCACAAAAACATCAGCTTCTGCTCATTTAAGATGGGGTGATGTGTGGTCATTAACATCTGCAATCCTGTTAATGAATTAAAATCAAAACTGTTTTGGAGCCTGTCTTTGTTTTTCTTATTTATGTGCAGCACGTTTTCGGTCTTTTCTATAACTAACACTTTGTTCCTCCAGCTTCTCGTGAACCAGCTTTCTAAATCTGAGCAGCGGACGAGAAGCTGTTTTCTCAGATTCGGTGTCGGTGACGTGTCTCGTCGTGAAACTCCAGAAGTCAAGCTGATAGCGAGAGCATCAATTACCACTTTCCATCCCTGAACTTCAACTCAACACATTCTCTGTGATAATCTTACTGAACGTTCAATGAAGTTTCAAGTGAGAAGCACACAAACATTTTACCATTTTATACCATCCTAGATTAAGTTTGTGGACTCAGATGCTATAAATTAAGAAAGATTATATTATATAAATACATTTTGAACCATAAAATCGTCTATCTTGCACGGGGCGGAGAGAAAAGTAAAATGATGTGTGTGTGTGTGTGTAACTGAACTAACAAACCTGAATGTCATATTTCCGTTGTTCCTTTTTCATACAATCTGCACCTCAACTTAATATATGTGGTTTTTGGAGGTTGATATTTTTTGTACTTTGATATTTGTTTATTGATTACCTTTTATGTATCTTTTTATTCTTTATTTTACTCTTATTATATTCATATCTTTATTTTTCGGTGAGAAACTTGCATGTAATGAAAAAGAATTTCCCCTCAGGGATAAATAAAGTCTTTCTGATTCTGATTGTTGCGATGCAGTGCAATCACAAACATAGAAACAGAGTTGAAAGAATACGGGATAACAGAGAAAGGGAGAACAGCTGAGTGTTCTTTGTGAGATAAAGCGCATGCCAAGGTGTGAATGGCAAAAAAATCTATCATCTTTTGATTCCAATTACTATCAGCTCACTGCTCTGCGCTCGCTGTCTGACAAAAATATAGCAGCGATGAACTGTGAGAGACATATGGGGCCTTATACCGTGGGATTCACACCGTATCATTACAAAATTAGATTTTTCAGATTTAAGTCTTTTTTTTAATAGTCTTTTTTTTTTAATCCCTTCCCATTTACACTTGTTTCGCTCTCTTTCACTGTCTCCAACAGATACGTAAGTGTTGAACACCCTGGATGGAGGCAGCAGACGGAGCACAATGTGCTGCGCGGTGACGTCAGGAGAGTTTCCTATTAACATCCTGACCGATTCCCATTAGATGGCGGTTCATGCTTTATTCTTACCCTGACTAATTCATAATTCATCCTCTAATAACTTCTTATTTTAACGTAGTCAACCTTAAAGGGCAACTATAATGTCAGAGCGGCTCTACTTATGTAACCCTCCCACTGAGATGTACAGAATTTGTGCAGGGACTTCTTTGCATTAATAATATCTCACAAACAGATAAAGATTAAGAAAAGTTGATGCTATTTGCAACTAAAACAACCCAAATGTGAGTGAACTCTATTTATCTTAACCAGCTACTGATGAAGTAGGACACAAATGAGGGAATAAACAAATCCTGCTTGTGCCTAAACCCTCTGGACCAATAAAGGCCTTTTTGATAGATGGCTGGTGCTGTCATGTGATCTGTTATTGTACGTCCTCCTGATGATCCGTCTTTCATTCAGGATGTACAGTAGGTGCAGCATCTTCAGCCCTGAGGGAGCTGAAGGCTTAAAATAGACTAAAGAGAGGATTCCATGCACACACACACACACACACACACACACACACACACACACATATATATAGAGAGAGATTGATATGCGTGTACAGTCAAAACAAGCACATACTGTGAGTCCACGCACACACAAAACACTCTGAAATAAAGATCAAGTGCATGACGTAAAGATAAGATGATTACGTAAGCCATCGTAAGAGAAGGGAGAGAGGGCGGAGGAGAGGAGATGAGGAAAGGAGGAGACAGTGTATGAAAACTGAAGGGAAATCCTGGAAAACATTGACAAGGAAAAGGTGAAAAAACTAGGAATTTAAGCAGGAGTCTGAGTCAAAAGAGCTCACAGTGAATGACTTTGTATGCGGCATTAATCTAGAGGATAACAAGTCCACTGGCGATGATGCTAATGAGCTCCTAGCTGATGAATGTGGACATAACAACACACGTGTGCACAGATGGTCGTGCATATGGTCCCAGTCAACGTTACCAGCCATGTACGCAGCACTTTTCAAGCATCCACGGATACATACATACAGCCACGTGCCCACACTCGGGAGCTGCCGAGCCTCGCTGCGGCAGCTATCCATCACCTAATGGCCAGCCGGCAGCCTTAACGCTCTTTTAACTGCTGTCATTTACAGCCATGGGAGCAGAGGAGGAGAAGGGGGCCGGGTTATCAAACACCTGCGACAGCAAAAGTGTTCCGCAAAATTAAGCAAGTTTTCCCTCAATACAATGTTTTGTTGAAGGTGTGAAAAACCCCCATAGGATACTAAGATCCTTCACTGAATCCAGAGGTGATTCTCTGCACAGCATACCAAACAGGCACGGGTGAGAACAATTCCAGTGATGACATTTAAATCTTTCATTACAGTGTTTTAGGGTGGGTAAGCACTCTTTTAATGGTGGGAGCAGTGATACGGAAAACACTGCACGAAGCTTTGAATTAAACAATGTTTAAATGCTGTAATTACCGACTAATGGAGCTGAAAAAGAACCTATAATCATCTTTGACTCCTTGCCGCACTGTAAAATATGGTGTCAGAGTGGCCTGCTAGCTTAAAGAGGTACTGCTGAAACTCCCAAAGCAGACTTTGTATTCATCAGCAGCTATATTTCATATTTATAAAAGATAATTGAACAGCTTCATGTTCACTGACAGGACTTTTGTGAATCGGGGTAGTTGGTTAATGCTTAGAAAGCGAGTGTGAAATTTTAATGTCAAATCGGAAACACCGCATTGAAATCAAAGACTCAGAAGTCGGAGGACTCCTTTCATCTGACGGAAAAATAAACTATTCAAGGCAGCAGCCTGGTAAGAATTAAATCTGACAAAATCTGAAACTTCCTCTGGATTGGATGTGGAACCAAAGACGCTCATAATTTCAGACACAGAGGAAATAAAGACGGGGTTATTATTCGGGGGAGAGAAGTGCAAACTGATGATTGTGTCATTTGTATTCCACAAGCACTGTTCAATATAACTGCTGCAATTATAAATAGATCAGAAGTTTCTCACTGGTACCAGTTCAGTACAACAAGGAACCAACCAGTTCAGTCTTTTATAGGGGCAACAAATCCAATGTTACAACAATATAAATCTAATAAAACATGTCGTGAAAAAAATGTAAATATTTTGGGATTATATATGCTTAACTTGATAAAGGCAATGTACTGTGGTGAATTAATTAAGGATGCTATTGTGTAAAACGATTGGTAACTGTGTAAAATCATACTCACTGCTGGTAAAAAAAAAAAAAAAGAAAGAAATTAAGAAGTACTGGTATTAATCTGAATCTCTGAGTCTTAAACAACAGATGGACACAGCGAGGGAAATATTTGTTATAAGGATGACTGTCATGCTAAGCTGTGGACATCTGGGTTGAAACCAGACGTTTACATACATTCAGACTTTGAAAAAAGTAGCAATAAAAAAATTCAAAAAAATTCCCTCTCTTATTATTCTGGCATTTAGCAAATAGTAATAATTTTGGTCATTTTAGAGTGACCTAAAACAGGAAAAGTTTAGCCTGATTTAATGTCGGACATTGAGAAAAAAAAGGCTATGTGTCTTTTCATACACTGTATGTAAACTTCCGGATTAATATAAATATATGTATATATAGCTTCCGTTTGTTAGTTTTGTAATACATTGAAATCCAATACATCAAAAGTTTATTAAAAAATATCCAACATGGAAGCAATTATGCAGTAATTACAGGGTTTAATTTATACAATGAATATTGACGACCTACATTGATTAAACATTAAAAGATAGTTACTGTTAGAAACTAAATGAAACTGATAAATAAGCACACAGTTGAAAACAGTTGACTTGATCTCTGTTATGATCAAGAGTGTGTCCAACCCTGAGTTGTTCTTTATTCAAACCTTTATCAACATCATAGATCTATTTTTAAAATCCAACTCTTCACAACCTCTCTTGTTACTTGTTTCAGGACAATTACTGAGATTCTCAATGAACACCGTAGACCTACCTGTGCTGCGATGGCCCAAAATCTGGACTCCATCAACCCCAGAGTCATCTGGACCCCAATGGCTGCAGAAAGAAAAAGAGACACATCAGTGAAGTAGAATAAAATGTACATAACCTAACATTTCTCTTTAATGTTAAGCAGCACTGTAATGTTGCAATAAAACACCAGTAAGATCAGTGGCAATATATAGATTGCATTAGTGGCAGCTGCAGTGATAGGCACAGCTGCCACTGCTGCGATAACACTTTCAGTTTAAGCAGTGATGGCTTTCGCAGCAAAAGTAGCCCTGCTGCTAGCCAAAAGAAAGGGACGCTTTAATCGAGCACTTTAGAAGAAAGAACATTAATGAGGCGATTAATGTCCCAAAGTGGGAGACTGTATCTCTCTCTTGACTCTGAGGCTGGAGGAGTGGAAGAGGACCTGCTGTACAGATCAGCTCTGCCTTCAGAACTCAACTTATGAAAATCCTTTTACAGTAACTGGCCTTCTGAGCTTCGCCAGCGCTGTGTGAACCGCCTATTCTTAGACAGTGTGTGTGTGTGTGTGTGTGTGT